TGGAATTAGATTTCTGGTAGAAAAGTTGCTCAGACACTAAAAAAAAAAAAAAAAATATTGCATTGTAAAACCAAAGATCCTTCGTTATAATTCGAATCTAAGAGCCACACTAAAAAAATAGTAGTTTAATGGAATATTTTAACTTTTGAAGAAATTAAAAACAAAAACATCATTATAAGATAACTTTTTTATTAATTTTATTATTTAATAACGAAAATTGTTAGTAGGAAGTAGTCATTATAGTATTATATTAGTAATTTTTGCACAAGTTAAGATGATTTAGCTAAAGTGTCAATTATTTCTGTATCTATTGATATCTTTTTCAATTGCCGTAATAATTAAAAGTGATAATTGTTGTTGATCTGATTTCGGACTTTACAAGTTTTAGTTTAAAAAATACACTTTCATAAAACACTTGAGTAGAGAATATCAATAAAACATATTTATATACTGTTCATAAATAATTAAATAATAGTTCTTGAATTATTATATAGACACAGTAAATGCATTTATTAAATTTATTATAATCAATTGTTTCTTTATCTTCAGTATCTATGATGTCTTCAGTTATACATTATGTTAATAATGGTTTTACATCAGGGCCCCCAGAGCTACAGTTTTGGATACCAAAGTATTTATTTAAAATGTACATATTTATTATTATAGGTACATACCTAGTTTTTTTTAGAAGACCACCTAAATGTGCGGTCATTGTTTTACCATGGTTTATCATGGTTCGTTAGTCTTACCGACCCCGTTTTGTGGGGGCCCTGTTTAAAATACGACAAAACAAATATTCGGCCCTAAAAAAGGCCAGAGCCGTTCATGGCCGCGCAACCCTGGCCAAGCCGGCATTGCCCTCATGCCATGTAACATCTAAACTATTCCTTATGATTATTGTATAGATTGTGTGGAACAAATAGTGTAAAAACAAGTCCGACATGAGCACACGCTCGTAGCGAGCCGTACTTTAAATGTATATACATCAATCAACCAACGATCAGTTAGATATTGTTAATTTATTGATGTCTGAATAAGTCTATCTGGCTTAGTTTTAGAGTTGCAAACGTTCAAACGCCCCGTGTTTTGCTGCGCTGACTCAGAAAATTTTAATCGAAATTAACCCTCGAGAGAGAGAGAGACCACATTAGGTCTCTAATACTACCTATAATGCGTTTCACTTTTCCCTGTTGCCTACCCAACGCGGTTATGCACAACTGATCGAGGGTTATTTTCGATAATAATATTAAGTAATATAAAAGTAATAATTTCTAATCAAATATATTTAAACACGTGTTATGTAAAACTGTGAAACTAAACAATACTTATTTGTATTGTAAATAAATGTATTTAAATATATTAAATAAATATATAATTACAAAATGTATACATACAAATAAAAAGTATATAAATGAATAAATGCATTGCCTGGAATATTATGATAGGTGTATTATACGACCGGTTTTGAATTAAAAATTCATCATCAGGTATATCACTGTCAAAATATAACACGTGACTGAACATAAAAAATTAAATGAAGGAATACATAGAAAAAAAAAAAAATGACAAATTGGTACGTTTTACATAGAAATAATTTATTATAACAGTAGAGTTATGGGTTAATTATTAGACATATGTATATAGTTATAAAAGAGTAAACGCAATATTTTATTATAAAGTATAGCAGCGCATAACATACAACCAAACAGACACACAAGTAAATATTGTATTTTCTGTATGATAAAATCAATGACATCACACAATACTAATTTAAACGATCATATAACAAAGTAGGTGGTAGTTAATAGGAATTAGGCGTTAGGTAGGCAACTATAGATAGCGCGTTCGATCCCAACCGGGAGTGATTAGAAAAACGGAACACCGTACCTTATTTTAGATTCTGAGTGGAATGAAGAAGTTTATGGTTTTACAAAGATGTTTATCTGTGCACAGCTTTTCTACCAGCAATTTTGCTCAAATATATAATGATGGCAATTTCTCTAGAAGGAAATCTGACTGGAGAGTTACTATAGGGGGATCATTTTTTAATTTTCACAAGAGTTTTCCCAACAAATGTGTAATACTGGGAAAAACTTAGGAAAATCGGGAAAATCGGTACAACATTAAACAAATATTATTATGCTATTTATTGCTATTTATTACGGATCCGTGTGCCACTGTTTTAAGAGAGAAATTATTAAGTGACAAATATTGGAATATTTAAGTTGATTTTTTTCGATCAATCATCAAGATGATTGGTTTTCGTTAGCAATAGTTTATTGTTACTTACAGGTATACATTGAATTACCTATAATTATCCTAGGATGTCTTGATTTACTTAAATCATTTTTTTTTGTCATCATTCCATTTCGTAGCTTTAACATCTAATTGAGTATAGAATCAACATCAGATTTCTGACTATATCACCTACAATTACATATTTGTTTCAAATAAGGTTTTGGTTATTTTAAATCAGAATTAAAACGGAAATAAATACTAATTGTTCTTTAAAATAAATTTTATAAATTTTAATCCACATTTAGTTATTGTTAAATTAAGAACAAATTAGGACTGGCTGGTAAACGACGTGCAGTTGTGCATAGCATTAAAACTTTGGAGAGTTGAATCAATTACACTTTTCTGTTCGAACTCTACTCAAAATCGTTTTTGTCAGAAATTATTAATCGTTGCGTAGACCCTGGTTGACGCGTGTGCACGCATTGCACAAGCTCAGGGCCTCTAGATTCTGAGAGCCTCTTCCCACTTTATAAAAGAAAATTAGTGCACTTTGATATTTTATAGTATACTTCATATTTTTGTTAGGTATATGATTTATAAGTATTTAATAAATAATTATTATATGAATCAGAACATAAAATTTTAGTTTCTAAACGGAGCGAAGAATGTATTGATTTTATAAAGATGTTTAATTTTTTAAATTTTTTTCTGTGCACAACTTTTCTACCAGCAATTTCGCTTCGATTTGCAATTATAGCACTTTTTCTGAAAGGAAATCTGACTGGGAAGGTACTTAAGGAGGTCACTTTTTGATTTTCTGGGGAAATTCTTTATCGTTACGGGCAATCAATCGTTTGAAAATATTAGTGTTGAATGTGTTGAATTAGTGTTGAAAATTTGATATTATTATCTACCTCTTAAATATAAATTTGTATTGTTTTGTTTTTATTTTTAATACAAATAGGACCTCAATGTAAGTAGTGCACAAGGCCTCTGTTTCTTTAAATCATGCCTTGTCGTTTTTTACAGTTTACCTTCTCAACTTCTCACCAAAACAATGGCCCACCTATTGTGTGAAACATGACCACTTTTTTTTTTTTTATAATATTCCAACGATTATTTGCGGAGGGTATCAAATTGATTGTGGTTTATCGTTTATTTTGAATTATTCAATGATCACGTTTGCAATATTTTCATAATTATACCATTATTCGATACATCATCGGGAGAAGGAAAAAAGAAAAATTAAATCATCACACCTACCCATGATGGTATACGGAAAAAGATAACGATTTAAAAAAATATTGTAAATAATATGAGGAAACGATTTTTCGATAAAAAAAAAAATCCAAAATCTACGCGAATACGCCATTATACGTGGGGATATAATATTATAAAGAACGACGTGGCAAGGTTTTATTAATTGTATTCGATAATAACATAAACGAATTTCAGTAATGTCGAATATTTGTTTTACAAAATTAAAATAAGTAGGTTTTAAGGTACCTAGACCTAAATAAGCAACATGCTATTATAATCGCTTGTTCCTCAGTATAATTGTGGACGTTTAAATATTATATGAATATTTTATGACAATTGTATTTTTGTATGGGTAATGTATACAAAAAAAAAAAAAAAAAAAAAAAAAATCGTTTATAATACAATATTATAACAATATTAATATTTTTTATTATAAAAATACATTAACCTTTTTAAAATAAAATAATAAATAAATTAAATACTGTAACAGTGCATTGTTTAAAACAAGTATACTCATAATAATATATTGTATTCGTGATGATATCTACTTACTATTATACTTATATCAGCGTCGGTTTTACCAACAAGCAGAACAAAGGCGGCCACATTTTAGGGGCTCGAATATTCTAGTTTTTTTTTTAAAAAAAAAAAGACAAGGAATAAACGGTCCTAAACGAGTTTATTTATTCTTTTAATATCCCTTACCGGTGATTTTATGTAATTTTTTAGTTGGAAATTGACGTAAAGTACCAATGATTCACCAAAGGTGTGTAGTACTTATTCATGTTTTATGTTATTATTTTAAAATATTGTATCTAATCACCAGAAGGCACTTTAAATTATTGAAAAAAAAAATTGCTACGTCAGCTATAAAAATTTGAATCGTTCTAAGACGTTCTATATTGAAACTTGATTCTGCATTATATACTTTGAGGGTTTTTTTTTTCTTGATTTTCCAGCAATGCATAACATTATTATATAATAATAAGTTTTTTTTGTATGTATTATGTGAACATATTTTAATGTTTTGATTTTTCAATGTAACGATATTAATAAATATTATAATTTCAACTGGGTAGGTATGTTCTTTTTTCTCCATCAACCTTGTATTAATTATTATTTATACCAAATATGTTTTATGCTCGCCTACTTTTTGTATACATTAAACCTATAAATAATAATTTTATAAAAATAAATTATTTCTTTGTAATTTTTTTTAATTAAAAATAATTAGCGGAAAAAAACTTATATGATAATGATTTATTTCTGCTTGTTGGCGGCAAATCGCTTTATCCGCTGCCGACGTATAAAGTTCAAAATTAGTCGTTAGTACAAATAATAATAAATATATGTATTTTTTTTTAAGACAGTAACAATAAGGCGTGATATATAAATATATAGCTAAAAAAATTATAATTAAATCTATGTGATATAATATAATATAAATGTCTAATAATTGACTCGCGTTTGATAAAATATTATAATATTTATATTAATGATTTTAATTTCTGTATATAATATTAAAATGCTCTTACACCGGTATATAAAATCCATTACGTTTTCTTAATTTTTTTTTTTTTTTTTTAATTATTTATAAAAATATATAATATTATCCAAGTCACGAGATTCGAAACCTACATTTTCTATAACTATTTTGATAAATTCGCTTCAGGACGTCGTAGTCGTCGCCGACGTTGGCCGGGCTCATTTAACGTAACCGTATTCGTTGATAGCTGTAAACAAATTATAACACAAAATTTAATTTTTTTTTAGTTTTTTTATTGAATATTAATATATACGAGTGATTAATATCAGATAGTATCCTGACGCTCAAACTAATTAAAACGAGTTGGTTTTTTTGGTTTTTGTGTTACACGAAAATGAAATATTAATTTTTATAAAAAAAAAAAAAACCACTAATGACATGGAATTATTGATTAAGTAATAAACGCTCAAAAATCTAAAAAAATCCGTGTTCGAAATAAATTAATATTATCCTAAAAATTCTACCAATCCTTTCAATATTATAAATACGAACATTCGGACGGATGTTTGTTATTCCTTTACGCCAAAATTACAGAACGAATTTAGCTGGCATTTGGCACGCACGTGGAATGTGTTTTCGATTCGTACATAGGATATATTTTATTTTTGATCTCGAATGTCAACCCCCCAAAGGGTGGCTGATACAGAGTTTTTGATATTTTTGGAATGAAGATCGAGTTATTTTTGTTTATTCATGGATTTATACTTTGGCGACACGGTGAAAAAAATATAGTGTTATCGTTTGTTAATTTGATTGTCACGGGCGAAAAATTGTACTTATACTTTGAAAAATATAAATTACCGGGTAATATCGATCAACGGTCAATAGGTACGGGGCGGAAACGGAGAGACAGGGGGGGACACGTTTTTATTTTTTTAAATTTGTTTTTCTCGTTCAATACTGACGCCGTTAAAGCCATGCGAGACAATTTTAGAGCTTTAATAATATACATACATTTTATATAAACAAACGGTATCTAACGAAACATTTTGATCCGGTGAGGACATTTTGATCCGTTTAGGGGGGACGTTTTAATTCACCGGATCAAAATGTCACCGTATATGTATATATAAAAAAAAAAAAAACAATAAATAATTGTGTTAAACAAAACTCGTTTCGCAGTATATTATACGAGTTTATGGGTATTCTTGTATCTAGACACGTATTTATGACGAGTTCAATGATGAATTAATCTAAGAGTATTAAAGTGGAGCTGAGAGTATATTGGAGAATTGAAGGGAAGTGGCGATCGCCCCTATCATTTCCACCCCCCCTGTAGATCCGCCACTGCTTTATATTATGAGTTATGAACACTTTAGATTTTTTCATAAACAATTGCATAACCATACTCAAACTCGTGTGCCCGAGGGCACAGCTTAAAATCGAACGATTTATTTAAAAATTTCGCGATTATTAATTTTCGGGGTAATTATAAAAAATAAAGGGGTTCCGCAAACTGTATAATAATGAAAAAAAAAAAAAAAAAATAATAATAATAATAATAAAAATTACAAAAGTAAACTAACGGCCACAAAATGCGTAGTTAATATTATTTAATTTGTATGTATTTAATATAATACACTGTACCTACGTAGTCTATGTACTATTATAATTTAATGTACACATCTGTTTCGATCAATCGTGAATTTTATTCGTTTTGGGTATTTTTCCCTAAAGATCCTACATGTTCAATACGTACCGTCGAATTCTTTTTCCACGATTAACAAGAGCTCGTGCCATTGGACTCCACTAATTGTAGGCACGTCCAAAGTGCCTCCGTAGCATTCCGGTAGACATGCCGGGTACAGGTGTTTGTGTAAAGACGCCCGGTCAGTGCCGTGGAAAATAATCTGCAATCGTTTATTCGGTATTATTAGGTTCATTACAATATATACGCATGCTGCAGACAGATCCGCGCAGACGTTTCGCACGCGCAGTTGTATAAAAATGCAAATAAACAACATTGTTATTCAAAAAGGCGACTTTGCTGCAGAGGGGTCGACAATTCACTATGAAAATCGGAAACGTTCGAAATGCTGCGAGTTTAACATAGGACCCAAGTAGTGCGTTTCGAAAGGAAAATTCAAAGGCGTTTCGCACATTTGATTGCGTTGATCTTTCACAAAGTATACGCCCGTTTAAAGAATATATTAATATTATTTTTCATCGTGTGAAAAAAAAAAAAGAAAAAGTGCGCGTGAAACATACATTTCGTTACGTTTTCATGCGTTTCGGTGGCGTACCGTTAAGAATGGTTTTCTTATTTTTATTTTAATATAAAAAGGAGACCTTTTGATAAATAGTATCTTATAAAGGGAACAACGCGGTTAATGGAAATCCGGACGAGATTTTCCCGATTGGCATGCGCGGGTACATAAAATAGTATAATATTATCGGAATCCGATCAGAACTCTCCTCTCCGTCATCCCCGAAAGTACGCCTCTTTTATAAGCAGTTTAAGTATAAGTAAATAAGATTTGTATAGGTATAAGTATAAGTATGGTTTTAAGTATAAGTATAATATCAAAGTTCAATCTCACTCTGGATCGCAACTTCTCCCTCAGGAACGGTTTGAAGAGGTTGAACACTATGTTAAATATGACCGGTTGGTTGACGATATGGATTCCTTTCACGCGCGCCGGCACGCTGTCCTGTAAGAGCAAAAATAATAAAAAAAAACCGTCAAAAATGTTATTTTCAGCAAAAAAATTAAAAAGAAAATTACCTGTATTAATATAATATTTCGAGGACGATAACGACACACGTTTCATCAGCCCCCCTCCCATTAAAAATTAAATTTTTTCTTGTCTCAATTTTTAGCATGGATTTACATGCCTTAGCTTAGACCAGTGGTTCTCAAACGGGGTGACATGTCACCCTTGGGTGATATGGATCCAATGTAGGGGTGACAAGAAATCCTTGGGGAAAAGTTTAAAAATATAGAATTTTTTTTAAAATCGTATTATTGTAACGGTAATCATGTGATTGCTACCACAGTCAAATAACGCAATAATTGTTCACACTAAACGGCACAGATATCGCAAAATTCTTATCTTTGTATTATTTATTTCTATTTATAGTTAACACTATAGATCCGATAAATACGTCCGTTCGACGTGCGACAACGCTACGTTATCTGAAACGGGACTTAATCAGTTTTTCTACATATATAACTATTATTTTGATGTTAGGGAGACGTAGTGTTGGGTTATCGTGGATGAGGGTGACACGAATCCAAAAAGGTTGAGAACCACTGGCTTAGACCAATGGTTTCCAACCTTTATACGGACGATATATAGAGAACTTTCGATGGGCCGCGGACCACCACGATTCGCTAATAATGACCTTTCTTTTTATAATTATTATTATGTTTTTTTCTACTTTATTTTGTCCTTTATAGGACAATAATAATACATAAGTGATATTATGTACGATACATTTATAAATAAACGAAATAAACTACGATAACCTGCACTACTGATTTTCGTTAAATACTTTGTTCAATTTTGTAGATATTGCCTAGTGGACCACCATAGAAGACCGTACATTGTCTTGCGGACCAAGTTTTTGGTGATGCCAATATTTAGCATGCGATTCGCATGCATTTGTATGACTGTTAGCGAAATTCGCACTGCTTTTTCCCGCCAGCAAATAGCGATTTTACAGATTTGCACATTTCTCTAGTACCTCCCCCCCATGATTTTTTGATATAACGTCTAAACTAAGGCATGTAAATTGTGGCGATAGGCACAAAAATCTATGCTAAATATTGGAACAAAAAAAAAATTGAAAGTTTTGATTGGGGAGGGGGAGAGAATAATGAAATGTACGTTAGATAATAATGGTGGCGTCGTAAAACGCTTAAATAACCGTAAAGTAACAGTACCTATTTATGTTTCGTTTGTTTATCGTAAAAAACATATGTATGCATGATTCTTTAAATAATACATCTTCTGAGAAAAATCGCCTTTTACACGGTCTAACGCGGTCTGTGTATTTTTTTTTTTCATTTATCTACCGCTTTTATAGCCCCGTCGCTTTGCAAATAATTATAGAAGGAAAATTCCGCCGATTAGTTTTTTTTTCTAAACGTATGTGCATTTGTTTACGTCATTATGTGTCGATTAATACCGATATTAATAGTTTTTCGCGTAAATATTAAAAAAAAAAAAATCAAAATTTATATTATTTGGCGATATATATATTTATTCTATTCTGCAATTCTACGAAACCCAATATACGAATAAATTAATGAAAGCAATACAAAATAAACAATACATCATTGCCGAAAGCTTTTTTTCTTTTTTATCACATTATTTCATATCGCGGACGTATATAATACACCAATTGATTAAATTTACATAATATTATAACCGAATTTTATTAAAAAAGGGAAAGTCAAAAATGTATCATTTCATTTAACATTCGAGATTTGTATTCGATTGAATTTGTATTGAAAACGAATAAGTTTTTTTTTTTAATTAACACGAACAATACAATACAATTCTTTCACTTAGAACTAATCTATATACATATATTATATACGTACGACTTTAGAATTTCTATAAGCAAAAATCAATATTATTTAATAAAATGTACACACCCATTTCTATTACTTTAAGATCTCCATTTATTTTATAACGTCGTACATTGGGGGAAAAAAAATCGTTAGTTTATTTCAATACGATATCTATTTTGCGCACCTACGGCAAATTTAATATATCTAATATATACAATACTCGTTGTGTTTCAATAATTTTTCATGGTTACGCGGGGTGATACACGGTGATTTTGTTTTTATCACGAACCCATGCACGATTGTACTATACATCTTTGGTCCCAGGAAAGAATTGTTCAAGTAAATTGTTTACCTAAATAGTTTTCAATACGAGAAAATTCAATTTTAAGTATTGTCAAACGACATAATGGCGTAAACGTTATATCACCCCGTATCATTAATATGACGTATGTCTTTTTTCGACAAACAGTAAAAAAAGTAGGTACATCTAATTAATGACTTGTGATGTATTTTAATTTTCGGTATAAGATGTGTGACGAGTGCAGTGTGCACGTACTCTTGTGTGACCGAAAAATAAATAAGGGGGGGGGGAAGAGAAAGACGATAATTGACTGAAGCCCTTCTTCCCTGGGACCTTTTTATATGCATACGGAAATTACGAGTAAATATAATTGTTTTTGATCAGTCATCGCTATTAGGCACGTGCGTAACGGGGTTACGGGCGGGTGTTTAGGGTTAAATCCGTCGCGTTAAACTTAGTTTTTTTGCGTCATGCGGATAGTTATTCGGTGTTATTATCGAATAAAAAGATAAGAAAACTAACTTAAAACTTCCAAAAGATTCTTGTAGTATAACCCATGGTTAATACTGATAATTTATGTAATTATTTTAGGCCATTTTGCGGGAAATCTTGGGCACGGACCCGATGGCAATATAATCGTGGTTTAATGGTTTTGCTCAAAATATATGCAAAATATTATTGTACATTCAAGGTTCGACCGTAAAAGTACACTGTCGCCTTTTGATTTTCGAAACCAAGTGATTGGCATTTTTAAACTCCGGTTAGAAAATTCGGTAGGTGTTAACACGTCATAGCATCGTGAATATAAATCGTCTGTTTGTTTTACAGTTTTATGATTGTGTGTATTACACGCTTGTTGTATTGGTTTATCTGTTTTTTTTTTTTTTTTATTCCAGTACTTTTTTTATATCTATATAAAATTCCGTATAGTACCAGGGTTGGGAGGACGTTTAGACTTTTACGTAACTTACTTGTAACCAATCGACGATACGTTTGGCGAACTGCGGGCTGAACTGCCAGGTCTGTTGCAACGACAAGCCGTCCATGTCAAAAATGACCTGGGCTCCGGCCACCTGTGTGGCCGGTTCCATTATGGCCGCTTCGAGAAATAACACGGCACCTTTGAACACTTCGTCCAACGTGCACTTCTTGTGTTTCCATTTCTCTGAATAACATAAAAACAACGAATATAATATTGTATGACGAGATATAGACAACGACGATTTTAGTTGGTTTTTTTTTCACAGAAATATAACAATTATTTTTTCGTAACCGTATTATTATTATTTATAATATCGTTGACGCAACGAAAATACACTCACTTCCCAATTCGAGCACTAATATTCTGCGGCTGGCCTGGTCGCGTTTCGGCAAAACGTGCAAAATATTATGATCGAAAATATTCTTCTCCTTTTGAGGCGAAAGGCCTTTGTACACGTTGGCGTGTTTCACTTTGAACTGGTAGTAATGTTTGATCTGTCAACGTAATAAATCGCGAATTAAAAACAATAAAATCTAGTCTGGCGTCGATGCATCGTAGAAACAATACGATAAATATTAGTGACCGGTGGCTTACCAACTTGTACGCGCTTTCCGGATAGTATTTGGTCGGCCGCAGAAAACGTATTAACCACGTTTTGTTGTGTATGGGCACCTTTAAATCTTTGTCCGCTAAATAACCAATAACAAACAATCCGAATTAAATTAATCGTTGTTTTCTTTAAAAACCTATGGTTTTTAGTCGTGTTATTTTTGCAAATTTTTACCGTCATCAGTAATATATAAATACGCGTGAAACAATATTCTACTTGATAATTTTTTTTTTCTGTGAACAACTTTTTTACCAGAAATTTTTCTCCGATTTACAATAATAGTACATTTTCTGAAAGATACTTTAAAGAGGCCATTTTTCGATTTTTCCAAGGGTTTTCCAAACAAATGTGAAAAACCGGGAAAACCGAGTAAAACGTAGGAAAAACGAGAAAATCAGTACAATATTGAAAAAAAAAAAATAATTAAAGAAAATATATAATGCCTATTTAATTATTTTAACAAAAAATATGACATGTCTATTGTTGACAGTGCATCACTATTAACTGGACCCCGTTCAGAATCGTTTTATTGTTAGCAATGGTTTATCGTTGCTTAAACAAATCTACATTAAATTCCCTTCTGTATCCTACCTTTCCAATATCCCACTTACAACAGCGGCTGCACCCGTCCCCATTATCCTTATACAGTTTTTTTTTATTAATTTTTTGTCGTGTTCCACGCCGAGTGGAGACGTTACAGACACATTTATTCGAAAATACATATATTTATTATCGAGGTTCAAGTATGCGTTTGGGGAAGAAAAAAAAACCCCTTCGATATCAAGTAACGGTTAGATTAGGCCGACAATCCTGTATTCATTATATACTATTTACAGTTCGGTGTTTGCGCTAATATCGTGAAATAATTTAAAATACTCGGGTATACCTATGTGTTATAAGTTCGAAAAACCGTTTCGCCCCCGAAAACTACCACGAATCGAATTGAAAACGTGGATATTCAATTTAAACTGCACGAGAACAGATTTTGAATCTATTTTTCATTTGTTTTTATCAAGTATTAATTTAGTTGTTATTGTATAATTAACATAAATCGTATATTGCGCGTGTATAGCTGAATAAATATTTAAACGAATACCCGTCAGTAAATAAACAACAAAAGAATAGAAGACCTTGGAACAACAACGGTATATCACTACATATTTGTTTATTTTTTCAGCGTCCCTTTGCTAATTGCTTTTACCGGGTCGGGGGAATGGACGTACGCGTCTCTTTGAATAAATAATGATATTTTTGAAAAAATATTTACTACCCCATCGTCAGCTCAAATAAATTATAGTGTGTATTTTTTGATTTTTTTTTTTTAGAATTTATCGTCCAGTAATAAATTATAGTGTTTTTTTTTTTTTTTTTTTTTTTTTTATTACACGTTTGCGGTTATTTATGGCATAAAATTATATAAAATAAATGATAACCGATACAATAATTATGTAACATTATTAACCAATGAAGGCTGTTAGTCTAAAAATTTTTTTATATTCTATGGATTGTGTTGAACGCAATGGATTGTTTGTAAAATTAGTGTAAGGAGGAGGGAGTTGGGACGAAGCCCCCCACGGGTTAGGTTCAACTGATGAGCCATTGGAAGAGCCGCTACATTTCGTTCCCCTTCTTCTATTTTTTCCGATTCAAGCATACTTTGTTCGAAAATACGCTTTTTGACTACATAATTTAAACGAAAAAATATCTTCTGTAATTCGAGTGTATAGTGATCAGATGATTGCAATATACAAAATCAATGTTCAAATTAACCGATATATCGGTGTAAACCCCGGTTTTTTGAATAATTTTTATTGCGTATTCTATTGGGACATTATTAACTGTCTTTTCCGAAAATATCGGTTCACATGCGCGTTTTGAAGAAATAAAACCGATATATTACGAATTTATTTTTTTTTCGCCTTGCATAATATGTAAATTCACGTGTCTAGGCGCATTTTGAACGTTTAAAATTCGAAACGAGATATCGCAAAATAATTAACCTACATTTGTTTACACGGTTCATGTATTATACAGTCATAAATAATTGATGATGAAATAGTGATGAGCGCTAATAATTATTGTGTATTGCCAATTCGCGAGTATCGGGTCTCGAAACACTTTATACCACATGCACGTACCGCCAATAATGATTAATCTAAACGCCTCGTAATAATTTTATTCGTTTCGAGTTATTAGAATATTGAGTGTTATAATATTATTGTTTATTAATTATGTAAAACATATTTATTATTATTTTTTTTTTTTTTTATCAACACGATTTATCTAAAACATTAACCTATACGGAATTTGTTTTTAATGTTATAATAATACGTACACAGGCACAGTTATTGGACGTATGAACCGTACCACATATTATTATTAACCTACTTATAGACGTAATAAAATTATTATTATCCGCCGTTGCGGTGTAATTTTTTAGTTTCGAACGAATACGTGTGTACGTATGTATATACAATAAGTATGGCGGATTTTAATTCGCTATTTATAATTCATATCTACACCAAGTACAGTTATTGCATTTAATTATTATATTATTAATATTATTCGTAAAATTAATGGGCGTTACAAAAAAAAATAAACAACACCACAATCGAAAATCTTGGAACGTATGAGTAAATTTTTTTTCGAAAGTGTACTTTTTGTTGATATAATTCAAAGACAAAAAAAAAATCTCTATAATTCGGATGAATTATGTAATATGTATACTTACGCTTTTTACGGCAAATGTTAAACGAATGGGATAATGTGAACTTTTCGTTCGACAGAACCGATTTTCGCCCTTAGTTTTCACATTAGATTTTACTATATCGAACTTTAAGGTAAGAACATTGTTCTTACCTCGTTGTCTGTGTTATTACGTTAGTTTTTTTCTCGGCGCACAAATTTTCAAACGAGACGAGAATTTTTTAATATTGTAATGTTTCACATACTCTTATCTCGCTTGAAAATATTAATACATCGATAAAACATGTACAACGTATACAAATACAGACTTTAAGTGATTGACAATAGGTAAATTCGCTCTGAAATAAAAACCGACGGTTGCATAAAATCGGTTCTCCCGAACAGAAAGTTGGCATTATCCGAGTTTTTAACGTTAACCGTAACATACATGATTAATTATAAGAGTATTCAACGGTCATTGTAGTGTTGATTTAGAATATTTTTTACAATTACCAGACGAAGCCGACACGAACATTATAATACAATCGAATATACAGTCAGATAATATACGCTCCCGAAATCCGAACAATCAACAATCAAATAAAAATACGAAAAAAAACTTTTTACTGAACTCGAACAATACGATACGAATTGATGTTATCCGGTGTGCTCCGAGGTCTTCAATCGGAAAATCTAATTTTTCGAAAATATTATGTGTATATATATATATATTATAATTCATAATCAATGAATACGGAATAGGTCACGTCTACATGTATACCGGATGTTATAATCTTTTTACAAATTCTCAACACGGAAACAATATTTTATGGCGGATTAAAAATGTGACAATATTGTTTGTATTTGAATTAGTATTGGGTCATAATATTACAACAATATATTGTATTCGGATTTTTATTGTATATTCGGACGATCGGAATCTGACAGTCGAATGGCAGAATCCGATTATACACCCGAATATGTGCAGTATTTTTAAAGTTTTTCAATTATTTATATTTACTCGTGAGACTGGATCCGAATTACATAATACATGATAGGTGCATAATATTCGTTCTTAGAGTGATTTTCGTAGATTTATTTTAATATGTGCGTATAACAATGTACCCAATATTCTCGAGAACATATTTTACGATTATTTGATGGATATCCGAATTTATTTTTATCCGGATTTTAGAATATTCAGATGTTCATCAGGGATATTTCCGACAGTAGTTAGGATTATCCAACCGGTTTCGTTTGAAGTTTATTGGTTAAAATTGTTAAATATAGATATATTATGATGTTTAAACAATGATAAACGTTGGAAAAATTTCCGTAATGTTTGAATTGTTATAACGACGCCGACAAAGTAAAATTAACAGAATTATTTTATTATTTAACGATAATGAAACTCAATAGTTAAAAACTTTGATCGTGTACCTCTAAAAAAAANACTGGAGGTACTGTGGATTGTTTGAGAGTGAAGGTGATGTGGGATGATTTTTCATTGTTTATTTTAATTCTCCAATTGGAATACCAATCAGAGAGTAGGTTTAGATGGTTCTGCAAATATTGGCTGGCAAGAAATGGGTTTTTTTCGGAAATATATATAACTTTATCATCAGCGAAGTCGGCTACAGAAGTTTGAGAAGTGGTTGGTTGATCCGATGTGTATATGTTAAACAATATGGGAGAAGAGATGGCGCCTTGAGGAACACCAGCAAGGATTGGGGCCAAATTTGAGATTTCAGAGCCAACTTTAACGGCAAAGAATCTGTCCTCGAGATATGACTTAAAAAATAAATAATACGGTGGAGGGAGAATTATTTTCAGCTTGTGTAAGAGACCAGGATGCCAGACTCTGTCAAAGGCTTGGGCAACATCGAGTAGGACAGCTGAGCAGTGTGACTTCGTTTCTAAGGAGTAGGCAATTGAGTCAGTAAGGCGGTGTACCTGATGGATAGTGGAATGTTTGTCTTGGAAGCCAAATTGCGTGCAGGGGATAATTTTTTTGTCGTTAATTATATTGGATATTCGTTTTAGGATCATTTTTTCACACAGTTTTGCAAAGAAAGGAAGTAAGCTTATTGGACGATAAGATGATGGAGTATCGGGAGGTTTGCCAGGCTTGGGAATTAGGATTATAAGGGATACTTTCCATTGAATGGGGAAGTACGATAGCCTCAAGATAGAGTTTAAGATGTGGGTTAGGTGAATTAAAGCCGTCTTTGGCAGTTGTCGAGCTACCTCAGCTGTGATGAGGTCTATACCGGGTGACTTTTTCAGTGGAAACGTATTTATAAAACGAAGAACCACACCTGGTGAAAAAGGTTTGGGGGCGAGATAAAGTGGCAGGGCTGAATTAAGAGAGTTTTCAATTGTTTCCGAGAAGGTGACGTTAGAAGTTGGTTGGTGAGGCTTAAAAACTTCCGAAAGGTGAGAACAGAAAAGTTCAGCTTTCTCTTTATCTGATTTGCACCAAGTACCATCGGATTTTTTTAAGGAAGTTGGGGCGGACTTTTGTTTTAAACAATTACGTGTTGCTCTCCAGAGCGAGTTGTCCCTGGTCGTTAGGGATGCAATCCAGTTATTAAAGGATTCGTTCCTTAGATGTTGCAGGATACGTTTAAGTGACCAGGTTAGCTTATTATAAATACTTTTGTCAGATGGAAGTCTTGTTCTTTGCCAACGGGCTCTGGCTCTCCTCTTTTGGGTTATTAGTTCGCGGACATGTGCAGGAATTAGCAAATGGTTAGAGCTATCATTTTTCTTCCGGTGGACGGTGGAGTTCCACGCAGCTGACTGGATGATTTCAGTAAAATTAAGAACAGCGTCATCGATATCACTTGGACATTTCAGACTTATATTTAATTTTATTCTTTGATTAATTATATCACGAAAATTTTCCCAGTCCATAACACCATTTATCAGTGATGGTTTACCAGGTTGGAGATAAGGTGAGGCGTCTAAGCATAAGAGAACTGGGGAATGGTCGGAACACGGGTCCAATAAGTTTGTAACTAGATGATTCAATCTTGGAGGGACTTGGACAACAAATATATCGAGAATATCCGGGCGTTTTCTTAGTGATGAAGGCCAGTATGTAGGGTTAGGAGGGGCAAGAACAGATAATTGCTTATTGTTAATTGCTTTTAGTAGAGATTTCCCTTTTGGGTTAGATGTATGACAACCCCATGAATGGTGTTTGGCATTTAAGTCCCCACCTATGACGAAGTATTGACCAAAGGAATTAAAGAAATTTTCAAATTGTGTCTGCGTAATTTTGTGTTTAGGTGGGCAATATGACGCCACCATAGTAATTGGGGTATGGTTTAATTTAATATTTATCGCTACAGCTTGAAGGAAGTCTTCATTAATACTGGGAAGGGGTGTAAATTGAATAGGTGACCTGATGAGAATCGCTGCACCTGCATGGGCCGTGTTATCAGGGTGGTTAGCTGGAATTGTCGTGTAGCCAGGAATTGAAAATTTAGTATTGGAGGTAAAATGGGTCTCTGAGATTAAAGCTAAGTCGATTCTTTTTTCGTTTAGAGTTGTTATTAATTCATTTCTGTGGTTTGCTAGACCGTTAGCATTCCATAATAGGATGATTAAAGATTGTGAGGTAAAAGGACTATTTGACATTTTGGGTAAGTAGGCGATCGAGAACAGTGGTGAGGAGAGATAAAAGTGGATTTATCAAAGCTTTAAATTCGTTAATAAAATTGGTTAGAGGGGAGAGATCGCTAGATTGGGCCGTAGGAGGTGATTGCAAATTTTGGCTGCTTGTGGCTTGGGCGTAAGAACGAGAGGGTAGTGGGTGATTAACTGCGGCCGTTGGTAGCTGGGTGATTTTACAATTTATGTTACTTAATTTATTTATATAATGAGAATTAGCCGAGTGAGTACCTTGCCTTTTTGAGAATGATTGGATTTGGTGGATTTGCTTGTAGATCTGGCAACCTTTGTAGTTGGCCGGATGGTCGCCTTTGCACAGAGCACATGTGGCGGGTGTGTCTCTAGTCTTCCCGCAGCTAGATGATGGATGGTGCTCCCCACAGCGTACGCATCTCGGAGGATAGGCACAATATTTCCTAGAGTGGCCATACTCTTGGCAGTTGAGACACTGCACAATGTCTTTCCTTTTGTGTGGTTCTTCGATTTTTACCTTTGTATGAAGTACTACCGTTAGGTTAAAAATTTCCTTGTTTATTGCCGCCGGTTCAAGGTCGATGAAAAATATAGGTAATTTATTTTTTGTGATCTTGTGGATAACATTTGCTACTTGGCGCACTGTATATCCTAATTCCTCGATGGCAAATCCTATTTCAGCCGTTGGTGTTGATGGGTGCAGGTTGCGAATGACAACACGGAAAGATTTTTCTTCACGTGGTTGATATGTGTGGTATTGTGCCTTACGTTCTTTTAGGAAGTGGATAATGGCACGGTAAAATTCTGGTTTAGTTGACTGTATTTTTAAATCATTAGTGGATGATTTAAAGAAGAAGTTGTCAGAACCAACTAGCCTTACGAGTTCATCACGAAAGCTAATAAAGTCAAGTACGCCACGGACAATTATTGGGGGAGGTAAATTTGCTCTAGTTGGTGCTTCACAGTTATCAGTGTTGGAGGGAGCCTGCGGTGGACTGGTGAAAGGATCTATTTGATCGTTAGTGGCAAGAGGAGTAAATCTGTTTGTTGTCGCAAACATAGGCTTTTTATTATCTGTTTCCTGGCCATTGGATTTTGTTGAGGAAAGATGTCGCTTAGCGGTTTTTTTTGGCGTTTCGAAAACATCACATTCGTTTTCAGGTGAGTCGTTGAACACGTCACTAGGCACACTCTGTATATTGAGGTTTCTTGGTAGGTTTTTTTTCTCTATATTAGATGACAGTTTATCTTTAGATTTTGATTGTTTCCTTGAGGATGCCGCGTTCAGAGAAGCCATTGTCGTTATCTGCTTAATTCAAATACGTAAAAGCGATAGCCAGCCTCGGTAATCTACCGACGGCTGCACGCCGGACTGTAGACGTAGCTACAGTAGATAATTAAAAGCTTGATAGTACGTTATAAAAAATATGGAAACTGGAATAATCTAGATAAAAAAAAACAGCGATAGCGGAGCAACAGTTTAAACATACGTGCGGACNTTAGATTTTGATTGTTTGCATGAGGATGCCGCGTTCAGAGAAGCCATTGTCGTTATCTGCGTAATTCAAATACGTAAAAGCGATAGCCAGCCTCGGTAATCTACCGACGGCTGCACGCCGGACTTGTAGACGTAGCTATAATAGATAATTAAAAGCTTGATAGTACGTTATAAGAGATATGGAAACTGGAATAATCTAGATAAAAAAAACAGCGATAGCGGAGCAACAGTTTAAACATACGTGCGGACGTAACGATGGTCGACGCCGAACTTCAATAAAGAAATATGAGTATTTTTTTAAATCAAAAACCCGATTAAAAAAAATATTTAGATATATAATTTATGTATATTTTTTATAATTTTTAATAAAATCCAAACACAAATATCCACAAATAGGCGGATCATTATANGCGATAGCGGAGCAACAGTTTAAACATACGTGCGGACGTAACGATGGTCGACGCCGAACTGAATTATAAATATAAATTAAATATCCACTTATGCATAGTAAAAGGAAACCGAGTTGTACCATTGAAAAACCGTGTTAATTTGTATTAACCCATCGTCCAGCTCTACAGGGCAAACGGCTGGATATATAAAGTCGTATAAGTTATCAATCGATCAGAAATATTGTGCAGATGGGAACATGGGAACTCTCAAGCAGATTGTTTTAAATGGATAAAAAGTTACATCCAAATATGTTCGAGTACTTTCAAGTCCGATTTTTCATATTCGATGAAAATATTGTAAAATATCTACTCTCGTTGATGCAGTGACGACGATGCAAAATATAATTTTCCCGCGATCTACCACTTATCCGTCCGGCTACTATCGTTGCTGCGGCGACGAACGACGTCGGACCCTCTGTTAGGTGAAATGGTGAAAAAGATTTTTACATTATAGTTTTAGGAAAAAAAACCAACTACGAATCAAAATGTAAGACATAACAACAGGATGCCAGCGATGCTAGTTGGATTATTATAATTGTTATTATATATAATAAATAATAGCTAATAAAAACAATTTATGACAAAGAAAAAAAAAAAAGCAAAAAAGGACGGACATACTTCACACGTGGGTGCAACCATTGTTGTAGATGGGAAGTTGGATAGATAGGATACAGACGGGAATTTAATGTATATCTGTAAGTAACGATAAACCATTGCTAACGAAAAAACAATTCTGAGCGGAGTTCAGCTGATAGTGTTGCTTTGCCAACAGTATATAGAATGTCATATTATGGTAAAATGATTACAACAATGTGTGTTTTAAAAAGATTAAAATAATAAAAACTTAATAACAAAAAATAAATAAAAACGGATGCCAATGGCAACCTTATTTTTAATCTTTTAATCTTTTTTAACCTCAAGGCCGGGGTTTTCCTGGCTACTTGGTACGCAGTTCCAAGTAGTAAGTATATTGCCGATGAAAAAAAAATGATACAATATATTTTATTTTAACTGCCAGGGCACAACAAGGATTTTTTTTTTTGGGGTGGGTCTCGAGGACTATATAGTCCCTTTAGTCTTTGTTCGTCTTAACCTAACAAAAGTATTATATGAAAATTTCAGGTTTTTAAAATTATTTGTAAACCATTTGGAAACCAATATCAAAAATAATGAAACCGTTAGTATTACCGTAAACTTTCCCGTTTCTACAGTTTTCCTTAATTGTTATGAAAACTATAAGGAAATTCAAAAACCTTCTTAATGCACCAAATAGATCCAAAGTGCTACGAATAATCTCTTATAATATTTTGATTAGAGAGAAATCACACAAAAAAAAAATAAAAATATTGCAACTAATTTTGGCATAATTGGTTTTTTAATTGTTTCCTGAAATTTACGTTTCGGAACTATTTATTAGTATTTTCCTCGTGAATTGTCTAAGTTTTGGTTCATGACTTCGTAACGAGCACAGAAACATAAGAAAAAAAAAAACACAAACATTTATATGAGTTTATTATTCTATAATCCGAGATAATTGGTTTACGAGGGGGAAAACTCTAATTTTTAGAAATCCCAAGAAGTAGTCTTTGTAATCCTCCTTCCCCAAGTAACTACTTAAATATTACGTTGAACAATATACTGACGTAAATGCGTAAGTATATAGTTCGGTATACGTGTTCTCGTGTTCTCATATACTTTTATTAAAATTATAGACGTTGCGTCAAATCAAATTACACTGAGGGTAATTTTTTTTTTTTACTCATATAATATATATCATTAAAAAATAATGAATACGACTTACATCATAGCAATATCATTTCGTCATTACAACCTGTTTCTGAAAATATTATCACACGGGTAATGTTGTTGGATAATTTTGTCTACATAATTTAATAATTATACGACTAAAACTATTATTTTGTGTTTTTTAATTTACCACATGATATGTCATAAATTTTCATTTTTTCTCGTTTCGTTTAACGCGCAGTATACAGGGAAATTAGAATAGAAGTACAAAAATGAAAAATAATACAAAACTAAGATTTAAATATTCTGTTTTGTGGTGCCGATTCACGGTTTACTTACCCTCGAGTAAAGCTTTCAGTTCGGCTATCGATTTTTCCTGTTGTTCCGGCGTTTCTCTCAGTTCGTTTACGGCCACGGCCTGCAATTCCGGCGACAGACAATCGTCCAGTTCCAAACGGAGCAAGAATTCTCCGAGTTGGATAACAGGCACTTCATTCAAATCCGATAAAAATACTTCGCATTCTGTATACAGACAAAAATACAATTAAATTTAAAAAACGGCCATTAAAAAAATATATACATATACCTATAATTTACCAAGCTAATAAAAATTGTTTAAAAAAATGCATGTAATCTTTTACTGTCCACTGTAAAATAACCTTAGACTTATAGCGCAAGCGCAACGATAATAATAAAATTTAACTACAATAATCACCCATAAATATTTATTAATGAAACCCATTGAAAAATAATAATAAACCACTTGATATTTCCGTATGAAGAAATTGAAAATAATAATTATTTATTAGTACCGCGTCTAACAAATCTTTCGCAATAAATAACTAATGTTGGTACGATTTTTTGCTTTTCGTTTCTACACGATGATAAAAACGATTAAAAAAAAAAAGAAGAGGTGTCACTGAGGACGGGTGTACTACTGGTGCAAGTGGAAAGTTGGTAAGTTTATAGAATGCATAAAATTATTCAATTAATATCCGTAAGCAACGACAAACCGTTGCTAACGATAAGAACGACTCTGACCGATATTCAGCTGTTATACATGTTTAAAAAGGCCATTATTTTTACATATTTTATTTGATCTTAAACCGATTATTAAAAAAAAAAATGGACACACTTTGCACGATGGGCGTTTTTGCAGGTGAGAAGTCGGAAAGGTACAGGTGAAAGGTAATGTACATCTGTAGGCAACGATTAACTCATTGCTGACGAAAAACGATTCTCAGAGTAATGTTCGGTTCATAGTTTTTCTTTGTCAACAATAAATATGTCATGTTGTTGTAAAATAATTACATATGCATTATGTATTTTCTTTAATAATATTCGTTTAATATTGTATCTACTTTCTCGTTTTTTCCTACGCTTTTTCCCGGTTTTTAGACACTCATAAATAAAAGTGTTAGTTCCGACTAATACGTTCGCAATTTAGTGTTGTTCTTGTTTCGTTTTGATTACATTATTTTTATTCATTGCCAAAAATTAAACAATCCGCGATAAATCGTTTGAAAAGTATCGTGTTGGAGTACGGTCGGATATATTTAAAACCGATAGAATCTTTTTTGTAATCTGTTATGTGAAATGAAGGTAAACAGGGACAAACAATGTTTTAAGACTCAACACATTAATATTGAAAAACATAAACGAGCAGTTATCAGGACAAATTAATAGAACAAAAACACTGAAGTTCAACAACTAGTAATCAATACCCTGAAAAAAGTATTTATTCTCGCAAGATCTGTATAAAGTTTTGTTGTCAGCAAAAATACTTCTTCAAAAAATTACCAATCTTCAATTAAAATGATTTCTGGAAAAGTATACCTGCATTAAAAGAAATCCTTAGAGGACATCTTTATATACAATTTGTGTAAAAAAATACAATTTAAGAGTGAATATTTTTAAAGCCTGCATTTGTACTTTTTTAAACGCATAAATGCATGTATATATTTAGTACGCTGTTTGAGAACATTAAGTTCCGAGCCGTGATTATCAGCAGCAGTTTAAGACGAATAAAGAAAAAGGTCACACGCATCGATACTCGATGTTTTGTAAATAATTAATAACAAACAAGACGTACGTGAATAAAAACTATAAGTATTCGCGTATTGATGAACGTATATCGTATACCCGCGTTTCGAATAAAACAAAATCTGTACGCAACGATTAATCTTTGCTAACGAAAAACGATTCTTAGCAGAGTTCGGTTGTACACGGTTTCCTCAGTTATTTTTCCCGGTTTTTCTCATTTACATTTTTTTTCATCCGTGTTACGGTTGATAGCTGCACAGCTCAGGGATTAAATTATTACATACGATACAATACGTACCTGCATAAAACATATAAATATACCTTTGTTCTAAAAAATTCCCTAAATTTGCGATAAAAAATATTGAAGGTCACCTATCGGGATGAAAACTATTCTATCTTTCAAGTTGGACCAAACCGTAAACATTTACGAATAATTTCGTAAAAATCGGTTAAGCCGTTTCGGGATTACCGCAAACAAACATCGTGAGACGGGATTTTTATGCATACAAATTTGTATACACGAGCATTTCGAGGTTTTCGACATTTTCGGGGGTTTTTTATTTTATTTAAACAAAATGTTTAATATTTCACATTTATCACGCAAGTACATTGTTGTCAGAGAAATAATTATGGTATAGTTTACCATAATAATACGCTATCTGTAGATACATATTTATATAGACCTAGATTTTGTGTTATTTATCAATACGTAGATAACATATGGTCAGAATTGTTTTTTTTTTTTTTGAACAATTATATATACTAGCATGTATAGATATTCAAAACGTAAAAAATATCAAAACAATCTTAAAGGATGTACTACTGTCTGGGTTTTTGTTACAATACACAATATTGAATAACCGTTGCCTTCACAATATTAGTCATTGTCGATAATAATATTATTACGATCTTTTGACCGTTTTGATACCGGACGGTAGTACACCTACTTTCTTTTCACGCGACAAAAAAAATGGTAAATACTTAACCTACATTGCTTTCCGTAAACACGTGTTAGATTGAAAAATGATTTAAAAAGACGAAAATTATAGCGCGTTGTTAAAATTATTATAATAGTAATATGTAAGTACGCAATAGCACGGGTATTTCTTTTATATTACTCGAACCACCGATTGTATCGCGTGCAGTGTTTTGTGTGTGTGTGTGTGTGTGTGTGTGTTTTCGTTTCTCGCTGAAGAGTTTACTATACACACTTTGCTCGTGAATGCCGGGCACTTATATAATATGTGTTAGACGAAATTACGTTAAATGCGGCCGACTGTAGCGACTGCATCGTCAACGATGTGCAACGTAGGCCTACATGTCATATTATTTAATTCTGTGGTCGGGCTGCAGCATAGAATTTAGAAACCGGTCCGACTGGCTGGATGACGATTAGACCCGCCGTCGAAAAATATTTTTTGTGTTTCGTTTCTTACCAGCTGTGATATTATTATACACGAGAGACGAGGCCCCGAAACATAGTGATATTATCATTGCGTATTTGCGTACAGCAGCTTTCGGTCGCACCGAACAGAAAAATGTCGAGACGAATTCACCGATAACCCGAGGTTCCATTCCCGCAATATTTGAAACCGTTAAGGGGATTGGAAGCGGTGATTTTCCGCCTTTGTCTTATCATACACACGCAACAAAAGAATTTATTTGATTTCGCGTTTTAATTTCTCTAAAAATGTATAAATCTCCATTTGTTTAACTACTCCTTCTGTGCTATGGCTTTTTCTTAGGATTTAGGGAAATAAAATTAAAAAAATGTAGGAAGGCCGATTTCAAGACTTCAAGTATACTCGACGCAAATTCAAATCTGCTTTCTGAATTCTTATCGCTAAACTATAGATCAATCGGTACATTGGAAATAGATTTTGCACCGTAAAAAATAACCGAGATTGACCCTCAGCTGGAAAAAAAATCGCTCTATTCCGAGTTCTACCGCTATATTATATTCTTGAATGGATTAAATATTATTTCTGTTTTGACGGCTGTTATTACCGCGGAGTACACCCAATTCTTGACGGAATTACTAACGTCCACACTGCAAATGAAAAATGTGAAACGCGCCGCGAATAACTTTAGTTGCACAAACGTACATGGGCGTCATCCGAGATTTCACGTGTATTCCGATTAAAATCGCGTATGTTATAATGACGATGATGGGACGATAAAGACCGAAACGGCGTCGGGTGTAAGCAGTGCGAACCGACTTCACAGAGAAAATTAGGTTAACAAGTCGCGTTTAAATTAAACGTAGGTAATAGATATATCTGTGTTTTTTTTTTTTTTTTTTTCGTTGCGATAGATTATCGGCGATAATTGCGCGCGTTTAATAATATTATATTATGTCAACGAAGGCGATAGGATGACCCAGCGGTTTTCGCGGTGACTCGAGGTTAAACACAATCGCAATCGAGTGTCCGGTATAATATACGAAACGGAGGGAATCCGAAACGTTTTTTTTTTCTCGACCCGTTCGCCGTTGGTGTGTTGATATATTATCCGTTCTGTACAATAACGACGGCGACGACGCAAACGACAAACTAAATGCGAGCCCTTGACATATTGACTCCGCTGTTTACGTATGATATAATTCGCACGATAGGTAGGTCACTGTTGTAGATAGGGGGGGGGGGTATATATAATGTAAATGGTAATTCAATTTACATTTCTGTATACCATTGATAACGAAAACCGATTCGGAACGATAAGGTTCTTTTTTACACGCACGTACATTTTCCCCTTTTTCCTAAGTCTTTTCCGTTAAATAAAACAATAACCTCTGTAAACCTGACTACGCTCCGGGTCTATAAAAAAAAAAAAACCGAAAATTATAACCACGTTTATTATAAACGATTACGTTTTGATTTTAATTATGGCGAGTGAAATGAAAACCGTGCACATTGAAAAACAATGCGATTTATTTATTTACACGTTTTGTCCGAATATAATCTCAAAGTCAATGTCATATATTTTTCGAAAAGTGTTTTTGCCGATTCGGAAAAGACAGTACATTTTGCCATTTTAACAGTTTAACATTTTCTATAACTCTGAAATGATTTCGTTTCCATTTGAAAATATTGTTTAGCTTTTACAGTTAACGAGGCGCAACTAGTATGGGCGTATGGCCTATACATTTCCGATTTCGATATTGTTCAGAACGTTCTGTAAATGCCATTGCTTTCGTTTTTCCAACCAGTTTATTTTTCAATGAAATCTCACACACTCTTGGTAATGAACAAACGGTTACAGTCTATAATTCAAGCGAAACAAACTTCTTAGATACGCACAGACACTAGTAATGATTTTAAATGTTTTTCGTTGATGTCGAAACTTGGCCATTTAAGGAAACAACGGATTATAATTATTGGAAGGGACGTACGGGGGATGAACTCTCGAATTCACACTTTGCACGAGACCGTCGTAATAAGGATGCTATGGTTCAAATTTCAAGTTTCCAGCCCCACGGGAGCAGTGGACCGAAAAACGTTGCATTTTTCTCGTTACACACATTTTGTTTTCAAAACAAAAAAAAAAAAACGTGTACGTACAATAAGAAAAACGATAGTAAAACGACTGCACAGCCGTCGCGTTACCGCGCACCGGCTGCATTTCATAACGAAAATAGTATTCGTTATCATCATCGCGCACCGTCCGAAAAATACTATTGCTAAAACAATAACGCCGCCGCGGCCGTCCGCTAAACGGTTTTCATGTAGCGCCGCGGGTATCGATACGACTGTTTGACGTTTACTGCTGTCTTCTCGCGTGTCATCCGACGGCGATTGTTTTTGATTTCGGTGTACGGTTTCGTCCACGGACATTGTAAAACCGCTGAAGACACACGCGCCGGCCGAACAAAGAGATGCCCGTCGACGGCCGCGTCATCATCAAGGACGCGGACGCTCGACCGTTCGAGTGTACGTGCCCGCGCCAGGAATCGCCTCATAAAAAAATTAGAAAATATTATCGCGTTACCGTGTAACGTAATAAATAATAACATTATTGTCGTACGCGGAGGATACGGTGTCGGTGTTGGCGTTTTTTTTTTTTTTACTTGATTTGTTCGTAGAGTTCCTAACCGGTCGTTCGCAGATCTTCTTTTTTTTTTCGAACACACTGCAGCGTAGACCGCGGGTGAAGTCTTTCAAAAAACGAAACGAAACGTTACAGAACGCGACGCAACACTCGTATCGCTCTGTATGCCGGGATATATCACACGTAGGTATATTACAATGGTGCCCCCTCTGCTTTTACGCGCCAGACGTTATAGTTATTCGGACACTATATGAAAACGAAAAAAAAAAAAAAAAACAAAAACAAAAACGCGTACAGGTATATACCATGTACGTACAGTCGTCACCGCCTTGCGATGTACTCGGTTTGGTTTCGTTGGTTCAATAAAACAATACGAAATAATTTGTCCCAAGGTTCGTAATATAAAATGAGTAATAATAATAACAATAGTATGTCTCACACGATTAGTGTTTTATCGTCACTCGTCGCGAGTCATTTTAATTAAAGGATACGTTTACGTGCCGCTATATAATATATATATATATGATAATAACGAGTATTGGATACGTACGCACGTGACCTTAGCTGATATAACCGGATGCGACGCGAACGTTTTGATTGCCGACCGCACTTTTTAAACGTCTTTCTAAAGGCGAACGGGTTTCGCGTTATTATACTAATATCATAGTCGTCCGGCCGGCGATCCGATACGGCTATTCTCAACAGGTGGGATCGGGTGGGAACCCATATACGCCGACGTTATTATTACCATCATACGCCAACAACTACGGTGTTTAGGATCCCCGGAGGAGAAAACGGGAAAATGTACGAAGTGTAATATTATCAAATCGTACATTTTATGGCCTTTCAAAACGTACGTGCAACCGAACTCCTCCGCTCAGAATCGTTTTTCGTTATACCGAACATTAACCATTGCATACGGGTATACATTAAATTCCCATCTATATCCTACCTTCCCAACTTCTCATCTACCATAGCGGTCCATCCATCGTCCGTATCTTTTTTTACTATTGAAACTCGGCTATACGCTCACAGAAACGCGTATACTTTTTAATTATTATTCGTGTCTTGTTTATTTTTAATCGTTATCAAAACGTTGTGTGTCGATGCGTGTTATCACAACGATTCAACGGTGTATGGCAACAGACGGCGATATTTTTCTATTCTTTTTTTTTTTTTACTCCAAACTGTTAAAGTTAAACTGTGCAAAGTTCTAGTTCCGTCACTGTGTACACTCGCTAAAAAATGAACGACTACATCACTGGGTATATACCAAGATATCATAGCCCATATTCGACTAAAATATTGTTCAACAGCGCAACACTTTCTCAACACTTCTCTACACAGACGCACGGATTCAAATCGTTTCTAACCGGAACCAACTGCGTCCAGTATTTTACCTTCAATAGTATCCAATTGATAATTTTTTTTCACCGGGCTGATCTCGGCCACATTCTTAGAGAGCCGTCAAACGGTTCCCGTCGTCATCGCGAAATTGAAAAACCGGTACAACACTATTATATACATATCATATTCCCTTCGATTGTATACGATTAGACATTGAAAACAATACGGTGCTCGACACTATTATCGCAGTGTTTGGAACAATGTTATTGCCGATTCGAAATAGTAATAATTTTAATTTAATTTTTTGAGTTTTCGTGCCAAAAATTTGAGTTGACGGTTGACATCGTAGTATTATATTGTAGTCGCCATTCTCTATATGCATTACGCTCCTATTTTGGATCTTCTTCGTTTGGATTCGTTTGAATTACGTAGAATTGACCTATGCTTTTTGTATAATATTCTTCACAATACTATTTAACTTTCCCGATTTTCTCGGCCGTCTGACGTTTTGTCGTCTGACGTGGCGTATTACTAGATCAAATGTTACCCTTTATATTCCCGCTCAACAAACAATTTGTTCGTTGTCCGATTTCCAGAATTATGTATTTTTCAAATAAACATAAGATTGACTTTTTCTCACATCAGTTGTCTTCTTTTAAGCACCATTTACTGTTACTATTTCGATCATGTTATCAAACATTGTTCATTATCCTTGTAAACTGTAAGTTTATCTAATTTTATAATTCACTTATTATCTATTTTATATACACTGTGCCTTTACTAAACGTTACTTAATAACTGTAAATCTATTATTATACATGTAATTAGTTTGTGAAACCCGTTAAATTCAAATAAATAAATAGTATCCAATAGCAATGAGGATACAGACTCAAAAAGATCGTGCACATTTGCAATAATGAAAAACAATTGCGTGTATCGCGAAACGATTCGCCAAACTTTTATAATAATTATATTATGTATGTTGAAAGTATAATTATTTAATGTTCTCAAAAAAAAAAAAAATAAATAAAAATAGCGTTCCGCCCGCGGTCTGTTCTAACTTTAAGAATAAAACGCAACGTTCAAATGTAAAGTTTATTAATCGATTTCATCAAATTATCGCAATATTTTATAATATAGCCGTGACTGTTCTATAGAAAAACATATTGAGTACAATCACGAAGAATCGGTGTACCTATTTAAATATATTTGTATATTTTTTTTTTTGCTGGCGAAGTTTCGGGCATCGGTAGCTTGAATTAAATTTTATTTGCAATTTAAACGCGTACAGTTCATAGTTGATTAAAATGTTTCGTCTACTAGGCACTCGTAAAAATACGGATTTATCGTCTTCGTTACAGTATATAGCTGCGTTTATATTATTATTGTATTATATCGCCGAAAAACGCACGGGGAATATTTATGGACGTATTATAAATAGCTTAGGTAATCAAAGCCGAGAATTTACATACATAGGTACTTACTTCATAGAATTATCTAGATCTGTTTCACGCATTTGCGTTTCTAATCACGCGCACACAAATTCAAAACTCATATAAGCGTGACCTTGACGGTTTCTAAAAGCGGGGGGGGATGGACGCTTTAAAAAAATCCAAAAATAAAACGGCCGACCGTAGCTTGGCCACAACTCTACTGGTTATCTTAACTATTAGTAAATTTCTCGTCATTATTACGATGAAAACCGTTCATATGTATTTTAATTTTTGATTAGACTCACTATGTCGAATTAACCAATTTTAAAAGTCGATATCTGGAACACAAATTTCAAAAAAACGCGCAAATCCGTAATTATAATTCCGACCAAAAAAACCTGACAGCCATAGCTGTGGTAGCCACTGTGTCATTATCGAAAACGGTTACCACGGATTATTACCCATCCCGGTGGCCGCCGTGCCGCCGTTTCTAAACATAAATTGGAACACTTTATATTCCTGTTGTGTCCGTTCGAAGTAGAACGGACCCAAACTATACAGTACCTATACTTAGAATGCAGCTTGTTGCTGCACAATATCATATTTTGGATGAGGGTTGATGTGTCCCGGTAATTGAGATTTAGGATAGTCGGATGGAATGGATATTGCAGGAGTTGAAAAGTATATATTTATATGGGTAAAACTTTTCGAGTTGGATGGTGGTTTTGAATTTCAAATTCTGCTACACCATATACAAATATAGTTTGAGCGCCATAATCCGTCCGTATATAACAGTTTCTAGTTCCTAGCACAGCTAAGTACGATTGTTGTTTTGGTTGTCGTGGAACTATATGTTACTCGTAACATTATTGTTAATTTAAATATACTTTCGTAGTAGCCAATATTAAAAAAAAAAAAAAAAAAAAAAAATAATAGGTTTCAAAATAATGGAAATTGAAAAATTTGAAAAAAAGAATGTCCCGTAGACTGTGTAAAAATCGAGATATTAAATTTATTTCGGTTTCTACAGGTAAACACAATAATTGTACTAGGCATGGAACAGTATCCCGTAAAAATAGCGAAACAAAATTAATAATAAAAATAGCGAAAGCCCTTTGGATGGTTAAAGCGAACGTGCATCAATAATTATAATGATTTGACAATGATTTGTTTTAAAATTATTAGTTGTTATTCGTCAATCGTCCGTGTGTCAGTAATAATCAGTTAGTGTGTTTGTGTGTCGTGTGTTATAGAAATACACATTAATATGGAATACGTTTTCAATAGGTAATAAAAATAAAAAAATAAACGGACGTGCTTCGCACGATAGGTGGGCCATTGTCGTTGGTGAAAAGTTTGGAAGGTAGCATATAAAAGGGAATTCAATGTATCTCACCGGGTTTTATAAATAATTAAAATAATAATAAAAAAAAAAAATAAACGACTTTCTTATTCGCCAACTAGGTAAATCAAAAACGCAACTGCAATGACCTTTAATAATATAGTTTCACCCGCTCTAAAAAAGAAAATTTCTCCGAAAAGTAATGTCACGGCTACAAAAAACGTTTTAATAGACACGGGAATTGGGCACTTTTAATGTTTGTAAAATATAACATTTTAATACATACAATAAGATATTTGTATTTAATCAAACACAATATTAATATTACTAATGCGCGGTTTACATTTTATAGTACAAAGTCTAACATCCGGGTTATCATAAGGGAGAATCATTCAATGACATCATACACTAGTAAATATGCAACAGCGTAAGCCCACATAAGCCGGCGGTCCTGGCACATTTATTTTGTAACTGGAAATCAACGATAAGAGACGACGGTTGAACCGCCAAAACGAAATGATAACATCCGAAACCTTCACCCGGTACGACCATTATAGATAACAGAAATATTTTAACATCTGTGAATTTGACCAAGTTAATATAATTATTAATTATTAATTAGTTATTATTATTAACTAATAATTGTAAAAACAACAAAAACAAATAACAATGTGCTCATTTAATTAAACGGCCTACGGAGGAGGGAGAAAATGGGCTTCTCGCCTCCCCCCCTCACAAGTACACCACCGTTTTATTTTTAGTTTAAATTGTATTTCTGTTATTGAGTTGAACAATTCGGTTATTACTATAATTATACAATACGGTTACACGGACAAGTTTCAAAATTATTAATTAAAAATACGTAATTTTAACCCTATTGCGAATTGATTATTACTCCTATAGTATTTTTTTTCTTTTTTTTTCATGACTTTTCTATGTAAAGTATATAATTTTAAGTAAATGACGGATACTATCTTCTGTTTCCACGAAAAATGACGAGTTCCATTTGTGTCCAATGTAATATCAACAATGCCACAAAACGATTTACATTTACAGCGAATTACCCAGGGGTGTCACCACCCCGAGTCAATACCACTTAGGACTTGAGAATATGGAAAGTCGATATTTTATGATATGAAAATATGGAACATAATACTCATATGATATCGTACGGCGAACGGGACGTCCTCGTGGACGCACCTGATATTACCGAATATTTTGTTTTCGGGCTTGCCCTTGGGATTCGGTAACAATATACAGAATGTAAGCAAGTATACTTAGTTTGGTCGATTGTCATCTATATAATTATTATAAAATCGTTTTGAACAATTTGATAAAACTGGTAATAAGAAAACTACAAGGAAAACAAAAAAACGGCCCCCTTAATGAATGAATAAGATCATAAACTCTACAAAAAAAGTCCCTGTAAAGTTTTTGAATGAAGTAAGATTTCTGGTATAAAAGTTGTTTACCAAAAAAAAAGGAAACACTTACGTGTTAGTTTGAGTTAAATAATTGCAAGCTACAAGGGACACTATTTTTTTTAAACGTTTTTAATTCATACAGTCCCTCTCTTTTTATTTTCCCAATAATTCGAGCACTGGGTGTACGTAAAACGATCTATGCAAATTGATCGAAAGCCGACACAAGTGTTTGACATCGGTAGTCACGCGTACAGTTATAAATTGCAGGACAATTCGCATACCATTATGCAGAGTTATTCATTAAGCGGGCTCACCCCATTTTTTTGGTTAAATTTCGCAAATATTCAAACTCTGACTTTGGAATTTTTAAGTGTAGATAAAGCCGATATTGAGAATACTTAGAGTTTTCACAACATTTAAGAAGGGGGAGAGAGTAGTAGTACACTAATAAAACGCCGCGCGCCATGCCTCCACGCTAATGATACTCCACAATATACACTCCTCCAACCCAAACTTAAAAGCGAAATATCTCGTCAACGGATTGAAGGAAATCAAAAGTGTCGACACCAAAATTTATTGAAAGTAATACTCGATATATTTCTGGAATTTTAATGTAGGTTCTCAATTGAAAAACCAAAGTTGGTATTGCCACAGGATACTACTTAAATGTCGTGGAAAATCTAAGCATTCGAAAATATTGGCTTTAATAACATTTAAAAATACCAAAAATCAGAATTTGAACGTACGCAAAATTTAACCGAAAAAATGGGATGAGCTTAATGAATCACCCTGTATGCGGTACGAATACTAATAATAATACATATATCGTACGATTATTTTCAAACAAATTATTTTCATAATAGTCGGCAGGTATTTTATTATTATTGTATTACTATTGATTATAATACATTATTATTTGCAGTGTTCATTTTATTACGATTGTAGTCCTACGCAAAGTTATCGTTTAATAACACGGAGGACGTAGTTTTTATAGGTTCGTAATCGCGCAACGTGACCTTCCAAGGTCTGGGTCGTTAGCCTATTTAAAGAAAACAACAATTGAAGTATGGACTTAGCATCCTATGGATAGACGTTAGTTTTTTTTTTTTTTCGTCACTCGAAAGATGTTAAGTTATATCAGTTGATAAGTACTGTATGTTATAGCATTGATAAACGTGTAATTGTTTTGAGTAGGTACCTCATATATTATATTACGAGTGAAACGTTTCTCGGACGTTAAAAAAAAAAAAATAATAAAATACTACTCGAAATGTACCGATTTACATTTGTTTACCATTTGTTGAAATATGTTTCTATAAACCGGTTTAAAATATCATACAATTATTTCGAACATTTTTTACGATTCAATAAGCAGTTCTAACGAAAAAAATCCGTGTAGATGTGGCTAAGTTGAAAATATACCGCCACGTTTCGTTTATGGTTGCGCATCCATCACGAGCCGTCATTTTTGGAATTATTAAATAATTTGCAATTTCTAACGTTAGATAGTTAATCGACAGCATTTCGTGCACACAATTGAATCGAATATAAAGTGATAAATAACTTATGAATGGCTTAAAAAATGTGTTTTTATTATTATTATTATTATTTTTTTAGTGAGCTCGTAATATTACAAGAATATAGTGTTACTCATACTGTTATTGTTTATGTACTAGTTGGAATATCAAAAATGCACGACTAACGCGATAACAATATATAACCACAAACGTAACAATGCGCGGATGTATCACGGCATTTTATTATGTGTATTTCTATTTTTGTCTTATCTCTATTTGCCTAGTTCGTAACCGTAAAAATCCAATTGAAAAAGTAAACAAAATAATACATGTTTTATCGGCACTTGACAGTCATAATATTGACATATTCCACAAAAGTGTCTGTTCGAATACTATTCGTTTAGAACAAAGCGATAACGAAACCGTATTAGACGAAGCATACGAATTTGAGCGACTCTGTGACACGTCCTGACAGTGGTTTCCAATATGGGATGGGAGGGGGAGAGCCAAAATCTTTACGTAAGCGTCAGATTCCTATCGAATAAAATACAAAGAATTAAGAAAAAAATACTAGATCAAATTACGATATTTTCCATGAGTAATATTATAATCCGAAAAAATTAAAGTCCCGTTTAAAACGTTTGTAAAAGGGGCGTGGATTTAGGAAAAAAGTTCGGTAAACGTTGCTCTACATAGACGCACTTATATTTCCCAAACATATAGAATGTAAGAGGTTGGGTTCAACTCACATTACTATTTTACGTAAAGCTGGCGAAAAATTCGAAAATATTGCGAAATTTCAAATCTTAAAACGGCGAAAAATCGCACCCGTCGATTATTTTGACGGGGGAAACCGAAATAAATTTCGACGTAACATTATTATGTATGACTGTAGCCTTGTACAAAGATACATTTATACTGTCTAGATAAAGATAACGAGGAATTACTAAAATATATATCTCGATGCAGATAAAAGATACATAAAGATTTAGTTATCTAGATAAAGACAGTAGTAGTAAGTAAAAACGCGTCGGATTTGAAGTACACGTGTCACGTTTAGATATAAAAGATGCTGCGTGATGTGTAAATCAATAGTTATAATACTCAAGTCATACTAATACGAATGGCTAAATGTATGTTATACTTATTATTTCAAATGAATAGATAAATTACGATTTAAAACGATTTATCTATGTATAAATCGATCTAGACGATTCGATTATTTCTCTCTCAGATGTATCTCTTTGCCGCGGCACAAATAACTTATTTCTCATTTATCTAGACACGATGAAAGATTAAAAAAGAAATGATTTATACGTAGATAACCGTCAAGACAATAATTTACCTAATGGTAAAACACGACATCATGTACACAAGCATACGTCGAGGTATTTAAAAATTATTATAATATTATTGTGCGCGCATCGCGTGACTTACCTTTGTTTTTGGCCATATCGAATAAATCGATTCAAAAGTCACCTCGAGAAGAAAAACAAAAGAACGCTTATAATTAACCGGAATAACTACGGCTGTAATATTATTATTTGAAATTGTATTCTTCGCCGGCAAACCGCATACGGTGGGAAAGTACGACCGAGTGTCCGAGTGCGGTACAACTACACTGGCGTTACTATGACCGTAACCACCGTCGGTAAATGAGAAAACTAAACCCGTCGCGTGTTCGGCCGTGTACGTTTGTTTTGTGCGTGTGTGTGTGTGTGTGTGTGTGTGTGTGTGTGCGCGTGTGTATGCGTGTGTGCGTGTGTGAGTTTGTGCAGTTTTTTTAACACATTATATGTACGCATGATATTCGTCTAGATGTGTTTTTCACGCGTACAGAAACTTTCCGACGGAAGTTTTCGCAGTCTTACGATTTTGGTTCTCGTTTTTGTGTTTAGATTCTGAGCGAATCGAGAAATGTATTGGTTTTTCAATTGATGTTTTTTTTTTTATCTGTAAACAACTTTTCTACCAGACATCTTGCTTTGATTATATCAAGCGTAGTATCATTTTTAAAAGGAAATTTTATTTGGGTGGTACTCTAAGGTAGTTATGTTTTGATTTTTCAAACGAGTTTCGTAATAATTGGGAAAAAACGTAGGAGAAATGGAAAAATTTACGAAATATATTATTTTTAATTTTTTTGTTTTTTTTTTGTTTTATTACAATTGAAAATATTCGTGGAGATTTGGAATTAGAACAAAAACTTGTATTTGTCTTTTCTTGACAGGGTAAAATTGTCAAAAAATTTCTATTTATGTTATTTATAGACATTTTATTTTGCGAGTTTTTACGTAATTTTTTTTCGTGGGTATTAGCTGTGAATAAAATTGTTAGACTAAAACGAAATGCATCAAAATTTAATATAAGGTTCATATTATAAGTCGTACTTTGTGGTCAAGAAAAACAATTAAGTACAATATAGAATTTTTTTTTTTATACAAATTTTGTTATCAAATTTTAACGAAAATCGTAAATATTACAGCCTCACCGAGTAGACTTTTGTCCGTGACACGATATTATCATATTAATATATATCTTATAATTACATATAGGAGAGAGTTGTATTTAAACTAGAGAAAAAAACAATATAAGATTATATTATATTATACTGCTTGTTACATTGTTTTATGTGAGAAATTGGGAAAGTATAATGCAACGATAAATCATTGCGAACGAAAATCGAATCTGAAATGCAGAGTTCGGTTAGGTTTTCATCAAATTTTGAATTTCTAATGCTTATAAAAAAAAATAATTATAATAATATAATGACTACAGATTTTCGATGTTTGTATTAGTTTATCATAACAATTTATGATAAATCTCAAATTTTCGAAAATATTCACAAACAACAATAAAAGCTCGGCAAATTTGAAATACCTTAAAAAAGGCGATTCAGGAAAGGCCAGAATAATTTGGAAATTATACCATGCCAAGAAAGTACTGATATTTGGAGGGCCCTATGCTCTAAAAATGACGGGAATATTTATGCAATAGGTAATATATATATATCTGTTTTTCGAAGTTTTTCCCGATTTTTTTGCCATTATAAAGAAGACTAAACGAAAATCGAAAATAACTTCTGTAATGTACCATCTAGATCAAATTCGCTATCAAACCGCTGCTGAAGTGGATGATTGCAACAATTTTCGAATACTTGTTCACAGTCAAAACAAAAGGAATTGATAGTGCTCAACTGCTGATGGTTGCACTATGGTTGTAGGTGGGAAGTTGGGATGGTAAGGTACATAAAGTTATTTAGTTTATGGTATATCTGTACCTAACGATAAATCATTGCTAAAGAAAAACGAATCTGAACGATGTTCAGTTACACATGTTTAAAAAGGCCGTTATTTTTACGATTCTGGTAAAAATTTGATACGAACCGATTATGTAGAAAACTACTACATTACGCTCTACTTTTTACTTCACCACTTTGTACAATTTATAATAAATTTTATAATACGTTTTCAAGCATTTCTGTTTCAACTATTTTGTCCAAATAAGACCTAGGTATGCTAAAAAAAAAAAACTAGAATATGTAAAATGCCTATTCGTATATTTCTAATTATTTTCAAAGCCCCTCAAAAACGGGCCTCTTTAATTCATCAACTTGATCCGAAATTCAATAAAAAAAGGTATCTTGTCATTTTTCGATCGAGGTTTTTGGTCGAAAAGTCGTTTACAGGCAGAAAGGGAAACGCGTCATTGTGAACCCATTATTAAGTTCTCAGAATTTGTATCAATCATTTTATTTTGTGATTCACAAATAATTCGATAATCGTAGAAACGTCACGAGTCAATTATTTAAAACGTTTGGGTAGATAATAATTGATAATGACTGTGTAGTATAAGAAAATTTTGAAAACGAGTTTAATTTAAGAACAATTTATTGAAACATATTATAATAACATACTGTACATACATAATTTCTGGGTAAAAATAGTTATTTGTTGCGCTTATTGTTGACTCAAAGTTTAAAGACGACTATTAAAAATGTATGACTAGTAACGTTTCAGCAATGTATTCAAATAATATATTCATCGTATTGTTGTTCGATTACTTTTATTCGGTAACCTAACCTACATAGTGCACAACCTATATACGAGTTCTCGTTTACTGGTTACGAGTGGAGACACGATTTTCCCTAACCCGTACAAATTCTCGGATCGTATAAGTATGATATTAATATTAAAATTTACAGTGACTCACTCTGGTCGTATCCAAAAAAATTATAATAATTTATTACGCAAACATGGGTCATTAGACCCATGGCGATGACGTTGAAAATTAAGAGTATACGTTATAATAATACATATTTTGTATACAGATGATATATTTTTTTTTTTTTTTATCAAACTTGAAATGGGTTAAAGACGTAAACGTTCCCGTTCGTTCTACGTCTTTTCCCGGGTTTTGCTCATTTATTTAGCAAACTATACGGAAAATAAATAAAAGACTGTCTAACTCACCAACAAGATCCGAAATCCAACAAAAAAGTCTTGTTGCATTTTTTGAATAAAGCAATATTTACGGTTTAACACGTCTATAATGCGTACAAATTACGCAATCGGTAACCTCGCGGCGCGCTGTAAATGTTGCCGTTTCGCCCATAACTTTGTGTCCGGTTTTTCCAAATTATTTTGGAAACCCTTTGGAAAATCGAAAAACGACCTTGTTAATACATCAACTAGATCCAAGACGCTACAAAAAAGTCTCTCGTCATTTTTCGAGCGAGTTTTCTATTTGAAAAGTCGTTTACAGACAGATTATAAAAAATACCAGTAAAAATACACATCATAGTAAAACCTATAGATCCCTCGCTCCGTATCGAATCTAAAATGCATAAAATACATTTATTCTTTTCGCCTATTCGTGGTCGGCCTTTACCTTATTGATCGTCTCCATCTAATACCCGCAGACACGACCTCCCACGTCTACGCACAACCTAGTATTCCTCGTACCATTCCCACGATCGTACCTAATAACAATCTCATTTTTGGTCTTTTTCTTCTTCCCCAATTGCATAAAAAATAATAACAATTTTAAAACACTCAAAATAAAATTAATGTAAAAAATCAATCTATACAAACGCTATAAAAATAATCTAAAGTAAAGTAATTTAAAGTAATGAGGATATTGGGTACATTTTGACTTTTGATATTTTTTTTTAACACGAAATCACATTAAATAATATTACACCGATGTACATTAAGTATAATACATCACAATCCATCACCTACACAATCCCGTCATACCCTAACACAAAGTTCGAAGGAGGGTTAGCCCGATTGCGCAAACCTGCAGCAGCGAAATGGCTTGGCGAACTAAAGTTTTTTATTCGTTCCGTATTATCATTGCCACAGTCAATGCTGCTATAATTATCTTATTAATTATGAACTCATCATCGCTGTTTCAATCGATCCTATTATTTTTAGCCGAATATATCATATGCATAAGTATGCGTAAAAAACAAAAAAAAAAACAAAAATAAATGACATAACTTAGGAAAACTAGGAGTGAACAAAAGGTTTTAGCCGACCGTCCCAAAATCACGATGTGTAAAACGAATTTCGGAAATGCTATATAGTAACATAGAATAAAAATAATGTTATCACGAAGTAGATAATCACTTCGTGATAACCGTGGTCGTTAGTGTTATAAATTATTTTTTAAAATCAAGGTTCATTTTTAAAAAAAAATCAAGGTTCATAAAAAAAAAATAAAAATAAAAACCGAACTACTATTATCGTATAACCAAGGTTTCAAATGAACATTAAAATACATAAAAAAAACTAAATGTAAAATTTTCGTAACGGGTCAATTCGGCGGAGGGAAGTCATCCAATCCGACTTCCAGTTTTTACAAGGGGTTTCGTATAGGTAATTATGATATTTTTAAAGAAAAAAATATGAAATCCTGCCAATTCGAATAAATTTTGTCGTTATCCGAAGACGTATTTATCGTATGTTTAAAATTAAAATTCTGTCAATATACGTGTGTAGTTTTATTTAGGTCTTGGCGAACCTTTACATACTTGGTATTCAAAATAATAGAAAAATCGCCGTTTACTTTGTACCTTGAAATTAAACCCCTAAACAGAGTGACTGACACGGGATTTCGGTACTTTGGTAACGAAAATTAATTTTTTTTTTTTATTTTGTTGATTAGTATGGATAAAAAAAAAATTGTTATTATAATTTTATTTTATTACCACGGACAAAGAAGTACCATTTTTAAAAAGATAAATTATCGGGTAGTAAAAGTTGACTGTGACAGGGATACGGGCGAAAACGGGAAGATGCGTTAAATTAAATTTATTTTATCGTCGTTTGTTTTGTTTTTGGTGTGGTTAAGCCCGCTGCAACGCGTCTACAATAACACCGGAGTGTAACAATTGCAACAGTGACGCCCGGGTGACACGAGACCATCCGTGTACCATCTACACCGGTGTTCGACCTTCACCGCCTCTATTGTACCGATACCTTCTCGTCCACAAAAATGCTATTCAGCCACTGTATAAAATAATATAGACTCACTACGGATGATAAATTACCGTCGGCGCGATATTGTCATTGGCAAACGGATTTACGTGTAGTACATACAGGCCGTGTCCCACGGAGATGTACACCCCTTGAACATCTCCGGAGATAATAATGCTAATCCTGTTTGTTTTTGTTTTTTTTTTTTTTTATATATATATCGCTCACGGGGAAGAGGATTACGAATATTTATATTCGGATACATTTTTGTTTTTTTTTTTTTTCTGAAAATGTTATTGTATCACACATTTAAATCCGATGAATAGTTTCTAAGTAACAGCCATTTTGAATTCTACCAAATCCCCGTGAAAACTGATGTTATCTAGGAAAAAACCTAACCGTGTTACGCGATAACATCGGTTTTCACACGGATTAGTAGAATTCAAAATGGCCGTTACTTAGAAACTATTCATCGGGTTTAAACGTTGTGATACGATAAAACATTCAGAAAAATAATCTTTATGGAATGGCTATCTTTAAATTTTCCGAAAACAATAAAATAAAAAGTTATTTTTTTAATAAAAATAAAAATGAATTTAAATATAAATATATATAATCCTATTTTCCGTGATTAATATAAAAAAAGTCAGAATTTGTTTATTTCTATTATCTCCGGAGATATTTAAGGGGTATATCTTCGTGGTACAGCCTGTATATTATAGTCGATGGAAATCGAATACGTTTTCATCGCCAACATTAATAACATTTTGACTGAAATTTCGTTTACTCGCGAAATTTTCACTATAATAATTATATTATGTACGTTGTTATTTCAGAACCAAATCGCATTTAGTGGTTTCGATATCACGTCGATTTTTCGCGCGACAATTTTCAATACGAAAAATTTCTGATATTAAGTTTTTGACAGCGAATTGTACAATACTATACACTCAATATTAAAAATTTATTTTCACTTATATTTTAGATTCTGAGTGTAGCGAATAATGTATTGGCCATACAAAGATATTTTTTTTAACATTTTTTTTTACACTGTGTACAAAAATTCTACCAGAAATCTTACTTAGAAGTGGTACACTCATTATCTCGGAAAGTATTTAATTTTTTCGGAATTAGTTTTATAAAACATTTTAGAAACAAGCTGCTCTACAATTTTTTATTTTTGTTTATTTTCGTCACCCTTAATTTTGGGGCTAAAACCACTACCTATACCTACTTTTGATTTTCAAACGGCAACCTATAGTAAAAAGGCCATAAATATATCGAGTATTTGTTAAAATAAATTGTAGTGTTGACATTTTCGTTGATCCGTTGACGAGATATTCCATTTTTAATTTCCGGTTGGAGGAGAGTAGTGGTGCATTATTAACACGCCGCGCGTCGTACCGCCACACAAATAATATTCCGCTACTCTCCTCGAACCCAAATTTAAAAGTGGAATATCTCGTCAAATATTCGACAGAAATCAAAAATTTCAACGCTAAAATTTATTTTAACTAATATTCCATCTATTTATGGACTTTTAAATATAGGTTGCCATTTGAAAATTAAAAGTAGGTAGTGGTTTCACCCCCCAAAAATAAGGGTGACAAAAATTAACATAAATATCAAATTATAGAGCAGCTTGTTTTTTAAATGTTTTATAAAACAAATTTTGGGAAATTAAATACTTTCCGAGATAATGAGTGTACTCACTTAAATGAATCATCTGGTGCAGGGGTCGGCAACCTTTTTTGACGGAAGAGCCAAAAGTTACAATGTACAAAATTTTCCAGATTTTAAAGAGCCACTAAAAATTTTCTTAAGTATTTAAATATAATTTTATTTTTAAATTTTAATAGACATAATAATAATGAAATTAATTATAATAATATAATAAATTTATGATAAAAAAAAAAAAAAAAAAAAACAGTTTTTAATAATAGGGGAATACACCAACGGGAGCATTGGCTTTGCATATCTTGGCGTGACGGCGTATGACCAATTAGTTGTAGGTAGCGTCGCGATTATATTAGACTCTATAATAAACATTTTACAACTATAGACTGTACTCCATGCGGGCACTGTCAAATTATTTTTGTGATGTATTATTTCATATTTCCAAAAGCAACAAAAATAATATACTTTTTTTTTTATATTATAAAATATTGTTTTTGAACTAAAATATTAATTTTTGTGTGTGCAGCTGGAGAGCCGCAACTTTAGACAGAAAGAGCCGCATGTGGCTCGCGAGCCGCAGGTTGCCGACCCCTGATCTGGTGCAACACAGATCTTTTTCTGAAAGGAAATTTTCTTAGGGTGGTACTTTAGGGAGGCCATTTTTCGATTTCCCAAGAGTTTTCTCAAAAAATTTGGAAAAACCAACAAAAAAAACTGAGAAAAACGGGAAAATGTACGAAACATATTAGTAAAATATTATGATTTTTGTTTTCTGTGGACAACTTTTCTACCAGGAATTTCGCTCCGATTCACTATAACACTTTTTTTAAAAAGAAATCTGACTGGACAGGTACTTTAAAGAGGTTATTTTTCGATTTTTCCAAGAGTCCTTCCAGCAAATGTGAAAAACCGTGAAAAACATAGGGAAAACGAGGAAAATCAGTACTTTATCAAACAAATATTATTAAAGAAAATATATATAATGCTTTTTTAATTATTTTATCATAATATGACATATATATTATTGACAAAGCATCACTATCAACTGAACTCCGCTCAGAATCGTTTTTCGTTAGCAATGGTTAATCGTCGCTTACAGATATACATTAAATTCCCTTCTGTATCTTACCTCCCTAACTTCACACCTACAACAATGGCAACACCCATTATCCAAGGACAGCTTTTTTTTTCTATTTGTACGAATCCACGCTAATGAATCCATCCGTGGAATTACATGATAAACACATATTGGCATAAAAAGAAAAATCGTAATTTTCAAATGAAGCCAATGAAATATACGTTTTTATACAAAAATTCTTACCGAAATTAAATCATTATAACCTTCTTATAGCCGCTATCCAGCGTTCAAAATAAACAAAATCTCATTAGACGCACACGAAGAAACCCACACAGCGACCTTTAGAGTGTTTACTACTGTAGGTGTATTATTAGTTTCAGATTTGCTTAATTATAATTCGAAATACTGGAAAAAATAGTAAAATATTTACAGAATTATAGAAATTATGTTATTATAACACCAGTGTAAAAATAAAGACGTTTTTATCTGGGTCTTATCTGCGTTGTTTAACATACAAATATGATGTGTAATGGGTAGAACACGTTGGACCTACACGGTAGTATATTAGAATAAAGACGGTATTCATATTATTAGCAGGTGCATATCTAGTTAAACTAGTTTTTCTGCCGAGGTCATCGTGTCGTAAACATATATTATAAAAACCTAGTCTAAATTTAAAAAAAAATAATTCACTATACCTATATGATAAAATTCAGTAACTTAAGCGGATTTTAAGTGACTGCAGTATAATATACTTTCATAATATACCTATTGTATATGTAATAAAACCGCGTTCTAACGAACGTAATAGATAGTATTTCGGCACCTATATAATACCTACAAATATAGTGAATTCAGAAAGCCGTTTGTTTTTTTATTTTTTATTTTTTGGACCGAACGATACGTTATCGGCTTTCAATGACGTATGTTATTGATTTCTTGTCGTATATCAATTATTATATTATTACCACGAGCATAGCAATAATTTTTCTCGTGTCCTTATAATTTCCGATTAATTTCAGTTAGCCGTAATATTAAATTAAAGCTGTTTATTACTAATTTCACACCATAATAATCATCTTAATGACGTGTATTTTTTATTGCGAACATAATGAGGAAGAGGATATTATTAAAATAAAATGCAATCGTTATCTGTTCTTCACCTTTGCTTTTATCCCAACTAACTGGAGTCGGCCATCCTCGTCTTAAACTTCCACTTGTTCCGATCCGCCACATCATCCACGTATCATATACCCACCGTTATTATATCATTCTCAATCGAATCCATCCACCTCTTATTTAGTCTTATCATTTTTTTTTTTTAAATAATATCTAAATCCACCATTAACTGACAATAATATTGTTAACCTGGCTACCCACTGTGCTACAGTACGACAGTGGGTCGGTGATGATGCCGTTATTGAGCAGACAGTATAACTTTGAGTCGGATTGAAGTTTGTAGGAGATTCAAGGCCCATATCAGAAATAGAGTTAAACAGAGATAAATTAAAATTTAAAAAAGGTGTCTTAAGATAATGGGGACGAGTGCAGTCACTGTTGTTGGGGAGAATTTGGGAAGGTAGGATATAGAGGGGAAATTAATTTGTAAGCAACGATAAATCATTGCTGACTAAAAACGATTCTGAGCGGAGTTTAGTTGATAATCGTGTTTTGTCAACAATATATATGTCATATTATGATAAAATAATTAAAAAAACATTTTACATTTTCTTTAATAATATTAATTGTTTAATATAGTGCTAATTTTTTCTTTTTTCCCGGTTTTCCCAAGTTTTTTCACGGTTTTTCGCATTTGTTGGAAAAACTCTTAGAAAAATGACTTCCTTAAAGTACCACCCCAAAGAAAATTTCCTTTCAGAAAAAGGATCTACGTCGTATAAATCAGAGTAAGATTTCTAGTAGAAAAAGCGTTCACATACTCGTAAAACAAAAAATAATAATAATAAAAATAAATATCTTTGTAAAACCAACGCATTCACCGCTACATTCAGAATCCCTAAAATAACTAAAATTAAAGTTTGTATGTACATGAATTTGTGAAGAAACTTACCAATAAATAGTGAAAGTACTTATTTCGTGAGGGGTGTGGGACCTTCATACATTTTATTTTGTGAGGAACTCTGGGATTGGGTCTTAAATTCTGTACTGGGCTTATTTATAATAAATCAGGTTTATTTTTTTTTTTTTAAACATTTAAAAAAACAGTACAACATACAGAACACAATTATTACCACCCACCACGTCAACATAATTTCAAAATAATATAGCAAACAATAGACGTATAACGGAAAATATATGTTAGGATGACAGGTTGTGAGTGATGATACCGCCACTCGACAAGAATTTTAAGTTTAAATATTCATTTCCGCAGAGTGATTCTGTATTTTCTAAAGGTCATTTTCAAAATCCGAATTCTAGCTCAAGTTTTAGACTTTAATTTTTTTTAATTCTGTTCTATTTTTTTTTGAAATTAATTAATTTTCAACTTAAGGAATGGAAAATAATTAACTTTTAATTAACTAGAGTTAATTTTAAATTTAAACAAGTTAAGTTGATTTCAATTATTATGCGTATGCACGTATAAATAATTGAATAATAAATATTATAGTTATCAATATTACTGTTATATGAACATTTTAAAATACGAACTTTTACGAATGTCTGTTATAGGTAGATTATCAGGTCAAAATATTAGGTAATAGACAATATTATGTACAATTTTTTTTTTTTTTAAATTAAGTTAACATGATTTAATAAGTTAATCTTAAATTTTGGTTAACTTCGAACTTAGTTGTATTGATACATTATTTTGAATTAACTTTTAATTTATTATCAACTTTGTTTAAATTTAAATTTAACTTGACTTAATTGAGTTGAAAAAATTACTATTATTAATTTTATTTATTTTTTTTCAAATATTATTATTCGTGTTATCGTCGAACTATATCAAAAATGATGTAAACTATCGTGGTAAAAAAAAAAAAAAATAATAATAATAATAATAATAATAGGTACTTATCACAAAAAAATATCGTCGCAATTATTGTTACAACCTCGATTTCTGTATGTATATAAAAAAAAAATAGATGTATGATTATCGCGTCGTATTATTATTATTAGTATATGGGCGGATAGGGTACTATCCGCATTTCGCACTCCACTTCCGCACAAATGCGTATAACATACGATTATACAATTTTGTGTAATAGACAAATCCCACTCCGCACCATCGTCAAACACAACAATAATAATATTATACAAATATTGACAAGGATGAAAATTAAACATAATAATAATAATAATGCGCTATATTTTATTCAATTCAATCGACTATAAAATAATGCCGTAGTTTTATTAAACTGGGTTACTGAGTAAAGTTATTTCGTATTCGCATTATTATTATTATTATTGTAGATAATGTTCTATATCGTTTTTGTTTGGAACGGAAATAAATGAAAACAACAATTGATTACTGAATAACATGAAAAAAAACGAAAAATATATATAAAAAAAAAAATCACATATGTCGCACACGGTTTGTATTATGAAAAAAAAATTGTAAAACACACACCGGTCAACTTTCGATAATAATATTATGTGTTATTATTTTACATATATTCTGAACGCGATAAGAAATTATTACAAAAGGGGTTAAAATAAGCAACAGTGTAAATAAAACGGCGTATTTATGTTATGTGGAGCTTGGTGTGGGGGGATTCGGAGGATTTTTTTTTTGTATATAGGTACGACGACTTAAATTCTATAGCTATACTACTGATTGACATATTATTTCGGGAGTAGTTAATTTTGTTTCACAACTTAAAGGGTTGTTTTTTTTTTTTTTTGTAGAGCTAAAAATTATGCTTTTATCAGTGTGTACATATAGACAGTGTGTCTATATAGCCCGATAAATATACGTGCATATAACTTCTATAGTATTGGTAGATAGTCCAACCAAGTCAAAAAATCGATTTCTTTTAGACGCTTAGAGTTAATAACCGTTACCTAACTATATTAAAATATTAATTTTTTTTTTTTGTAATAAATTAAATGGTTATAGTGCAATAACGTCACATCGTATCCCATTGTTCCTCAAATCCTCAAATCCGCCACTACGTCGGCTCGGTTGATTCATCAAAATCACTTAGCCGTCAATATTATGTTAAATCGAGCTCCCCCAGTGGCGCCCAAAGTATATACTTCGAGTAGTTGCTACACTTCATATATCTTGGGTGGCCGTGTGTTCTCGGTACCTAATTGGAATTTGGGATAGTCGGGTTGTAGGGGTTGGAAAGTATACATTTATATGAGTAGGTTTTTGAGGTGGTGGTTTTAAATTTCGAATTCGACTACACCATAAAAACATAGGTTGGGCACCACTGCACACCTCCTCCACCCAGTAAAAAAACAACATTCGTAAATACACACCGATGAATACAAAGGTTAAAATATAATTGTTAAATTACTGTAGTGAATTTAAAGTTTAATGTTTTTAATTTTTAACGAAACAAAATTATTGATCGATTCGATACATACTAGATACCTAATAGTTAAGTAAACCTTTAATATTTATTTAAGACGCTATATTCGCATGTGATGTCTCAATTCAACTAACGAGCAATATAGCAAAATCTACCTTACGCAGACTGCGTGGAACTCGTTTAATTTTGGTTTTAGAGTAAAAACCACCTTAAAGTAGATTTTGTTATATTCCCCGTTAGTATTAGCTAAATACCACATATGGGTATAGCGTCCTCTTAATGACTTTGTTTGTAATTTTTCTCAATAAATCATAAGCGTATTTTTGGAAGAGCTGCATATCACCCCCAAACCCCGAAATTTCTGGAAAATAGAGGATTTAAATAAAAGTAGAACGAATTCATCTTGGTCCAAAGAACGGTATTTGTGAAAGGAAATCCGTCAGATCCTTCTACTCACGAATAAATCTCCGGACATACACACGCCATTACAAACTCTGTCTTCTTTTTGGTTCACGGTGTTTTTTTCTTTAAACTCTTGAGACGACATTATTCTTTTTAAAATCCGTGTAAACAACACTAAAAACAGCATACAATATAGGTAAAAGGGTTTTCGTATAGATAAATATTAGACACGATGACACGAAGCAAGATAATGGACCTTTCAACGATGCAACGACGTAATAATAATAATACTTGAAATATTTCCATTTGTTGTGTAAATATTTTGCGGTTCTTTTTATACATTTGTTAAACGTCGAAACGTCATGATATTAAAATTGATATGTTTAACGTTTAAAATATTTACGCGACGTGTCACGCGTGTGACAAAATAATAATAATGCATTGATTTACATATTAATTAACAGTTGAACTCGCATACGGAACACAAACCGAAAATTATCTATGTGACAACACAACACGACGGCGGCAACACGTTGATTGATTCAACGTAATATACTTAGTGTAATATTGTATTATTACAATGTACAGTATAAAATTTGAAGGTTTTATATATATATAAAAAAAAAAAAAAAAACACAAAGAAACAAAACTAATAAATACATGATAGTTATAATATTTAAATATACACTGGGTAATTTACTAAATAATTGATAAACGGGGTACCAGCTATACGAGGTATACGTTTAGTTAAAAAATTAAAAACAAATTTTTTTTTTTAAACGTTTATGGTTTTACATCACATATTACAACGTTAAGTACATTACGTTTTTATCGACATTGTTCCTCTGCTAATATCAAATGTGCATAATGTAATTGCTTATAGTTTTGTTTTTATTATTATTATTATTTTTTCATTTAAGTACCCAAGTATAAATAATATTACCAATAATAACAAAAGATATTATAATATTTGTGTACATAATTATTGTTCCTGGTTTTCTGTTTTTTATTATTGCGTGTAATCTAGCGTGCGTATAACGAATCATACATTATGGATTTTACTGCTCAAACATCCATAAAGTCGATGTCGTTAAAAGTAATAATTATTATGGTGTAATATATATTGTATTATAAAATTTACTTTGAATTTAATCGATTTTCTCCTATAAAGTGACAGTGAGGGACCGCAAGAAGGAAACTTTTATGAAGGCACAACTAAATGTAACGACTGTAAACGTGACGGGGCGAGTGATATTTGTGGGTTTATCAAATAATCTAATATTCCTCCCTCCCCCCCATAACGGATACGTTTCTATTTCACTGACCGTGTACTATTTGTCTCTGTCCCAGGTGCCTCTTCTAATGTATTTTCTTCTTCTTCTGGCGTCCCCCCAAGGAGTTGTCCTGTCACCTTTTCTTTTTGCTTTTTTAGTTGCTTCTGTTTTTCCTGTCCCTTTTAACGCCAAACTACTAATTGTTTTCTATCGACATGACTCGTCCTCCAAATCAACTCCCGCTTCGACTGTCTTCTACTTTAGGACGACCTTGACTGGTCACTCACTTGGGGAGTATCTCTTGCTAGAAATTCTGTTCGTAATCTTGATTTCACATTCGCCAAAAACCTTTCCTCCCTACTTATGCACGTAGAAACTGCTTGCTGTAAATACCTCAATATCTTTGGCTTTGTGAACGGCATCTCCTACAATTTTTGCTTAATCACTCTACTCAAATCATTATACTGCTCACTCATCCACCTCATCCTGGAGTACGGTTCTGTCCTTTGGGACTCTAATTTCTTTTGTCGTCAGCGATATGATCGAATTGGTCCAGCGGAAGTTTCTCCAGATGGTCACCTATAGGCTTAAAATTGCTTGCCTCTCTCGCGACTTTGCAACTTTCCTGCTTACGTTAGGCCTCCATAACCTTTTAAATCGAAGACATATTATGATAAATATTCAATTAACACTACTATTCAACCAAATTAATTCTTATACCTTAATTGCTTAAATTAATTTCCTTATTCCAACTCCATGTCATACTCTGTGTTCTATTCCCTTTCACATCGATCTTCCAATTTCTTTGTAAATGCTTCCATGGTCCGCCTGTATTGTTCTACTAATACCGATCCCACTTTTGCGTTGTTATCCTAATTATCGTATTATGTAAATTTACTGTACTTTTAAGTGGAGTTGTCCGTTTGTAAAGAAAATAAATGTATACTATAAATTCGAACAGAAAGGAATAATAGACTGAACGATAACAAATGATTTTAGCTGAAAACGATTTGTTTTCGATGTCTTAAATTGATGCACAAAACTAAAAAAAAAAAAAAAAAATTCCTCATTTAAAAGGAGAACACAAAATGTTTTATTGTATTATAGATTATGTTGACAGAGTACAGCAAACTTAACTTTATTATTATAATATAATAGTATATATGGATTTATAGTAGTAAATATTAATATTACGTTTTAGAAATAATTTGGAATCCACGGAATATGGAACGTATATGACGCGTTATATTATCGCTAATATGGTAGAGAAAATATAATATTGCGTTTATTGCGCCACGAGCCATAAAAAAAATATACCAATATTTATTATTAGTTGGTTTATAAAACAATAAAATATAACGATGACCTGAATCGAATACAAATATCTATGGGATACATATTTGTTAAATTATTAATTTAATCGTCTCAATCCGATGGTTTTATTATTATTATTATTATTATTTTTATTCTTTTTGCTTACACATCTAAATCTTAAATTTATGATGCGCGCATATGCGGTTCAAAAACCACATCCGTGGTTACTGCAAATCACAGGTATTATAATACAATATCTGATAGGATATTAATCAGTATGTAGTATATAGAATAATGACACACAAATCAAAATACGAAATCGACTTTTAATGTTTCGTAATTTTTCATAAATGTAGTATTATTTTTCTCACGTGAAACTGTTATACTTTTGAGATATGACTTTATCTGGCTAAAAAACTATTGTGCGACAACATTAGGCTGGTCGAAATAAAGTAAAATCTCAATATTTAGATCAGAAATTATAATTTATTTTAGGCAAACATACAAGCCCGGATTAAAACATTCAGAGGTCCCGGGATCAATCTTTTCGATGAGATTCTCGTCGGAAGACCAATATAATATACATTTTTAAACCATGTTTACTAATCAATATGTTTCAAAAAAGGGAAAATAATAAACAGTATGGACAACATATTAGAACTAGATTCAAAATCCACGGATATTATTGAAATAAACGAGTAAAACATTCCGAACTAGACTTGACAAGCAAATGCCTCTTGTACTATGATATTTAAACCAATATGGCCTTATGGAATTCAACTGTGGATATTTGAATATTTTACCACGAGCGTTAGACGTTCTTGTTGCGCCACTACCCGTTTTGGAGAATAATAAAATACTTTAGTATCTGTGTAATTGTGACACAGTTTGTATGTTAGCACTATATTGTTAATCATTTCATGTTTGTGATTGTTTTAGCTGGTAATGACTGCGCTGACTGGCTCATAAAAAAAAAAAAAAACAACACAAAAATAAAATAATTTTTTAATAACTGTATAATATTGTGTGTAAATAAATTGATAATAATTTCATAGCATCACATGGCTACTTAATACTTTATCAGTGGACGCAGTGAAATGGATACTAAATATTTTTGATAACAAAAATAATATTGACTACGTATTTTTAAAAAATATTAACGTACTTCTATTTCTTATTTGTTTATTTGTCCATAAACAGATCCTTCTTCTTTTATATTTTCAATTTGAACATTGCTAGTCTGCTAATGACTTGTGTATTTTTTAGCTCATTATTTAAGCATAAATAAATATTTTTTCAGATTCTAAGTGAAACGAAAAGGCTTATAGTTTTACAAAAAATGTTTATTTTTTTTTTTATCTGTTAACAACTTTTCTACAAGTAGACTTGCTCGGACTTCTACGTATGACACCTTTTCTGAAAGAAAATCGTTATGCGGAGGTACTTTAAGAATGTTATTTTTCGTTTTTCTCAAAAGCTTTTTCATCAAATTTCAAAAACCGAAGAAAACCAAGAAAATATAAGGAATTATGTATTAGTTAAAATATATTACAGCCTTTTGTTTTTTCTGTGAACAACTTTTCTATCAGCAATTTTTTTCCAACCTTTAACAATAGTAATGTTTCTAGAGAGAAATTTCACTGGGAAGGTATTTTAAAGAGGTCAATTTTTTGTTTTTCTCAGGACTTTTACCAGCAAATGTGAAAAACTAGGATAAAACATGAGAAATTCGGGAAAAACGTAGGAAATTAAGTAAATCAATACAACATTAAACAAATATTATTAAAGAAAATATATAAAGCCTTTTTAATTATTTTACTATAAAATGACATGTATATTGTTGATGAAGTGTCACTACCAACTGAATTTCACTCAGAATCGTTTTTTTGTAAACAATGGTTTATCGTTGCTTACAGATATACATTAAATGATCTATAACAGTGGCTGCACCCGTCCCCATTACCCTAGGACGTCTTTTTAAATTTGCTGTTAGTTTAATTCATTATATATATATATATATTAAAATCATAACAACAAATTATACATTGGCAACGATGCTACTTTGCAAAAGTTTGCACAGCATGCATATTTAATCGTAAAAAAACAGTGTTAACGCAGTGGCATCATTTGGAGAGGTGCAGGGAAGGTATTGTCATCATTGGGTATGGATTAGTTTTTGGCTACAAGGCTTCAAACATAATTCATGATTCATGTTTCATACGGCTACTCTGAGCTAAAATTTTTAAAGATTTATTTGTGATAAGTGTGATAATTGTATACAATATTTTTTGTTCTTTTCGTTAACATTAATTGCACTTTAGCTGAAATTTCCGGGTTCTTGTAAGAGTCCATGTACATTTTTGGGAAGTATCTATTCTTATTTAATTTATTCTATGATTACCTATACTGATGTCCATGACATGGTTATATTTTTTGTAAATACGTGTATACTCCATACATATTGTCTCAAATAGAACATAAATTAAGAGAAAATTAACCACAAATTAAATCTGCATATAGTAGCTAATAGGTAATATAATTAGGTAGCCAAGTCATGTAGGTCTCCCTCTACAAAAATATTTATTATTTTGTTATTAATATTGTTGTCCCTCGAAAAAAACGGGTTATTCATGCCTGTGATAGGAGGTAAGTATAAAATGATATAATAAGGATATTTGTATTGAGATAAAAACGTAATGGTGACGGATGAATTTGTAGGTTAAAACTTTCGCCCCCTTCTTTCACAAAAACTTAAATGGCGCCACTGTGTCAACGGGAATCCTAGTGGAGGAAACGAGTGGTCCATGTACGTGTCAAGCGCAAATAAATTCTTATAGAGTGGATATACGTACTGCGTATTATATATTCCTATTTATTTGTACGAAAAACAATTCGCAATAGATATCGGATACATCAAAATTGTTATTAACAGGTACTATTGCTATAATATTTATGGCGAATAGGCGAAAGGTCATATTACCACTACGGTGTTCGGCGAATACTATCGATGCCGTTTTGTTATAATATAACAAGGTTGTCCGCGCAATAAAAAAAAAGTTTCTAAATAAAGTTAATCGATAAATTATCATTATGAATTTTATTACCATAGATATCCGCACAGCACAGGGATTGCACTACGAAAGTTACTGGCAATGTTTTTTTTTTTTTTTTTTCATCCGTGTTACCAATAGGTAACCCATAAATCAACAAAAATAATTAGATTTTTATACAAAAAAAAAAAAATACCTAAATACATTAAAAACCGAATTTTCGTTAACGGTAATTAACGGGTGGTGGATTTCTATAGCTATCGGATGAATGCATAAAGGATAAACACACATACGTTCGTTATTATATAGACAGAGAAGATAGATAATAATATTATCTATATAATTCCGAAAAAAAAACCAAATCCACGAGCTCACTGAAACCAATACACTCGTTTAACAACCACAGCTCTCTCATACAACTTAATTAATTATCAACAATTAGTTATCAATCATGAGGTTACCACTTTTTCGATAATAGAATTATTATTACCATAAATTAATAGGTATATAACAATTTTTTTTTGAATATTATTATTTGTACCATGGTATAATTTATTTTCGTTAAATAACGTATTTTCAAAAACGTTTTCTATCCCTGCTATAAAAATAACGTTCCTATGAACAAACGTGCGTGAAAGAAATATATTTTGGAAATCTTCACTCCACGTTGCGTGGTATGGTTTAGTTAGTTCTCGGGAACGATTTTCGGTAAATATTATAATTTTCTTTCGAACTTTTTTCCCGCTTTAACCGCCGAATAGAAAATATTCACTCAGTACCTATAAGCATTTGAAAATAACTATTTAAATATGATGTAAAAGTAGTTTAATATACTTAGAGTTACGAACGACTAGACATCGATTATAGTGAAATTTATCCTGAAACTATAGGTGCGCAGTTTTCTGGTAGAATATAATGTCTGTTAAAACTAGAGACCGAAATTATAACATTCACTAAACAGGTACGATGCAAATACGCAGAGTAAAAATTACAAAACATGTACTTACTTACAATAAAAAATTTACAACAGTTTCAAAAAAAAAAAAAAAAAACGAAACATATTATTAATTTTTAAATCTATGCTACAGTGTTTAATTTATTTTCAAGTTCATTAAATTATCTCGGCGATAAAATACATTAATCTTTAACTAAATCGCGAAAAAATTACAAAATTATTACAAAATATAATATTATTAACACACATATTTTCTAACTACACGTATATGAAAACTGATTGCAGCCAGCGACGCGGCCCGTCGGGAGCCGTGTAATAACGACTACCGTGTAATTATGAACACTGAACTGCGTTAGACGAAAACAATTGTTTTACCTTAAACATTAAGAATATATTATTTTCGTTTATCAAAACTATATTTCCACGGTAGTGTTGAACGAATTTCCGACCGACACATTATCAATTCTCATTTTTGTTTGCAAACTATTGGCGGTATTTTGTAGACTCGCACGGGTTCGTCTATTTTTGCGCGCAAACCGTGCAAATGATATGATGCGTCAATAGAAAAATACGCGTTAACCCTTCAAACGTCCCGAATACAATTTGGTCTATGTACCCGGACCGATTCGAAACGCCCATAATATGGGCACATTTCATAACCCATGAGGTCGTGTATGTACACGCTCGGTATGAACACGCGAATGCGTTATAATTCAGTTATAATAACGGATTACAAAACCGAACTCGAGCGTAGAACTCCGAGTAAGTATATAATAATGTTACTATGATGATTGATACAAACTCGATTATCTTTACGTTTAACTTTATTAGAGTATTTTTTCATTTTTTTTTTTTTTTTTTTTTTTTAATCGAACGTCCACTGAAAACGTAACAACAAAATATAATACATACGTTATTAAATTATAATTATATTTTTGTGTTTTCGTATATCGTAATTGTATTACCGTTATGGTATAGATTAATAATTGTTTTCAAATTATTTAGCTAAACAGTTTTTTAATAATACTATTTGAAAATACTATTTGACAAACATATGTACATTTATTAACACTTTGTAAACTCACGAGGATGTTGTTAATTAGATATTAATTTTTTTTTAATGGTCAAAAAAACGTAAATACGGGTCGTTTAGTATTGTTATTGATAATGATTAAAAAATATCGAGTCTACAGAACGTGTCAAATGTTTGGGTTTAAAAACAAATACACAGTAAATTATTGTAACTAAAATCGTATATTTACAATAATTCGTAATAGTATCTGTAATTAGTAACTAGTAATTAGTAAAGTATCTGTCGATACTTTAAGATGCCGAGTTTAGCAAAAAAGTTATAATTAGTTTTATAAGAAATAAGGCGCTTTTATTATTTTCGTGAAAAACAGTTTCGTAGTTACAGTTAAAAATGCTCGGTTTTTGTTGCCCGTACTAACTTAATTTAAATGAAACAGTTTGCTTTTTGTTTTTTAATCACGTTAAAATCCAATCATGAGATTATTTAATCATTAAAATAATACTATGGTTTATAGCAATGATAATATAAAGAAATCAAAATATCCAAAGTCAAATATTTGGTTTCCCGTTTGAAGAGTAAAAGAGTAAAACTTTCAAATAAAAAAAAAAAAAAAAAAAAACTATCAATAATATTAATTGGGTAAAGTACAAAGAATTTAAAAAAAAAAAACTTGTTTGGCTGAACCATAATATTATATTATTCTATACTGAAAAATCAGCAATACTCATTTTATAAAAATCGTTTGCACAGTCAATGGTAGTTGTAAGAAAAATAAAAAATAAATTAATATTTGTTTTTTTATTATTCCAATTTTCCGTATCGTATACGATAATATAATGAAAAGAAAAAATAATTTTATCTCTTGACCCAGATCTCGGCGTGTCACCGTTAAATTATGGGTTTTTCGCATATAAAATTTGAACATAATAACGAATAAGGTAAAAAAAAAAAAAAAAACACTGATTAAAATTTGTGATACGGTTGAAACACAAAAACAATCCGAGACCCCGTAAACGCCTATGGATTTTTAACGACGTTATTCGTAGGCATTTTGCACGGATTGTCGTTGAAGAACGGTCGTCCAATTATATTTATCGAGGCGCGTTCCGTTTTCCTGCACCTCCTGCAGAATATTCGACTATACATGTATGAACTCGGGTTTTTTTAAATTTTTTTTTAGATTTTCCCCAATCATACGTATGGTATATGTCAGTTCGGTTTTCAAAAAAAAAAAAAAAAAAAACTATCATTGTAATTGTATCATAAAGTCCAACTAAAAATATCGACAAAAAGTAAAACGCACAATCTGTTGTAAAATATTGTATATACATAATTTCATCGTGGAATTTTAAGGAATCGTCGTCATTTGTGTTTTAATATTTGACGAGCGAATTATAATGTGAGTCTGTACAAATTTTTGCAAAACGATATTATATTATGCATTAGTACATTCAAATGCATTCATCAAAAGTTCAGAAGACAGGTATGCGTTTAAAGTTGTATAATTTACGTATAACGATAAATCATTGCTAACGAAGTATGAGCGAATTTCGGTTTAACATTATCTAAAATTCCGTGATTTTTTCAACTATCAAAATGTCAAATGCCTTCAAGTAGCACGAGAATTGTTATGCAAAAAATATCGCGTCTAGAAAAAGATAATTTGAGTATTAGCATAGTTTACTACACTACAGCACCATAGTTTGGTGATATGCATAGAAAATATAAATCATGTTTATAGTTGTGCCATTGTCAAAATAGGCAATCGTATGAAAACTACAGGGAAATCAGAGACTTTTTTTGTTGTATTTATGATTCGAACATCTCTAAAAAATAATTTAAACAGAAATTACGAACCTAGACGGATCGAGCGATACAATTTAGTTGGTGATTTGTTCAGAACTATATTATTTGAGTGCGAGTTAGTTCCAGGGGAAATATGTGAATGGGATTACGTGGGAAACGTTGAATCAAACTATAGCGCTTTCCGATGATCGATCGCCCAACCGAAATTTATAATTACGTTGGTAATATTTCCAAACTATGTGTTTGGACTGTCACTATCCGAAAAATCGATATCGAATTCAAATTGAAGCGGCGGATTTACAGTTCAAGACGATTATTTACAGCGAAATAAAATACCTATATAAAATTGCGTATATTCAATTAAACTCCTTAAAGCATTTACGATGTACCTTCGTATTATAGCAATTATAGCAAACTATATCATTATAGCCATTAATAGTTACGCGTATAAATTATGGACCCGCTCAGCTCTCCTCTCAGAAAAAATATTAAAATACGCCACTGACATGGCGTAGTATAGGTATCTACCGGTTAATCGATATAATAGCAAATGTTTTACGAATCGCCGTGTTTTTGCACGACAAGTATATACTGTAATATAATATAGCATGTAAAATTAACATAAAACGAATGAAAAAATTAATTTTTCTTGTAACCGAATATCCTTGAAAAAACTCGAGTTAAATATCATTAACCTTATAAAAGCATATTGTATGCTATAACGCCTAACCAGCTGCTATATAGGTTACCTACTATATTATAAAGTAGGTGACGTGGTTGTACATTTTGTATACAAAAACCGATTTTTCGCTATTAGTTTTAATACTCGTGTGTAACTTAAAGGCGAGAAAATTGTTTGTTTTCGGATGTCCGTTTCAATTTTTTCGATATTGTAATTTTCAAGCGAGTTACGAAAATACCAGAACACGCGAAACATTACAATTTAAAAATCATCGAATCCGGCTTCAAAATTAAAATATCGGTGAAAACCCAACGCACAAATGCAGCTCGTCAAACAAACGTTCTCGTCATTATGTTTGTTAGTAAAGGAAGGGCAGGACGAGCTTCCGGGTCGCCGGGTTTATGAACCGGGCCCCCGGAAAGCCGGAGCGTGGGCAACCGCAGTTGTGTTATAAGTCAGCTAAATTAGACGTAGGATTAATTTTACTTCGTTGCATAGTGCATTGGTTACCTGTGTATGTGAGCCTACATCGCTAAGTACGAAACAGGATTTAAAATACACACAAGCTGTACTTCTTCAACAAGCGTGGGTAGCAGTGGGGAAGTATCGTGAAAACAGGTCCCCCGCTGTTGTCATTTTTTTTCGCTTATCGGCTCGCTTCCCGGTCGTGATAATTTCTAATTTTGCTTATTCAATACGATACATATTTATTTTTTTTTTTTCCCCGTATAACGGGAAGAGAGCCCCGAGTCGGCGCGGGCCCCTGATCCGCACGGACCACGGACAAATATCCATAATGTCCACGCGCAAACAGGGCACCGCAAAATCGGTTAGTATAGGTATAGTTATAACGACACTAACCATCGTGTACAATTATATTAATGTTTATATTCTGTACGCGGTACGCAATCAATTTTAGATTTTGATGAACCGTATTTTAAAGCCCCAGCTGGAAACGAAAAATCCGTACCGTACGGTGAAATTTAACGGAAGAATTGTATTTTATTCTACGGTACGTGATAGTGTGTTGTTGAATGTAAAACTTGATTTCGCAAAAAAAAAAAAAGCAGTGCAGGAAGAAATTTCGGGGAGGGAGGTTAACCTACTAACCCCCGCTCTGTGTGCGCCACTGCGTATTATGTAAGCATAATATATGTTTCATAGTGCATCAAAGAAAATCGTCTACGCTCTAATTTAACAAAACTATCGTTCGTTCGGTAGTCGGTACTGTAATACCATAATATACTCGTATCATTATTTTCACCGCATTGTCTTGCATCCCGCGTGAATAACACCGCTGCATTAAAAGAACGTGGCGCATGTATTTGTTGTTACTGTCTTACAAAACACAAGATATAGTAAAACCATGCTTACGTAGACTGCACAGAACTCGCTTAGCTTTGTGTTTTAGAGTAAAAACACCTGTTGTAAAATTTAAAAAGGACAATATTTCGGATAGCGAGACGATGCGTTTTTTTTTTTTTTAAAGTTTTAGTGAATCAAAAAAAAGTTGAAAAGTCGTTATTTTATAAACGGTAAATTGACCGTTGTATTCGGAGAAAATCGAAAAAAACACAACGCCTTGTCCTCCGGAATATTGTCCCCTTTTGATTTTATACTAGGCGTTTTTCTTCTAAAACCAAAGTCAATAGAGTTCTGCGCAGTCTGCGTAAACGCGGTTCAACTATATGGTGCGTTTGCAAAGGCGGAAACAGCTAAATAAAAATAATAAAAATAGTTCGAACAATTGACGGAGCAATAATATCATATTATAGTAACCGCAGTATTTCGATAATCCTACGATAAAAATACTGTAACAACAATATTACGAATCGGTATTATTATCGTTTTGTATTTTTTTCCCCTCTCCCCGGATTCGATTACAGGTGCTCGGTGCCGCATGGGGCGTTTACGAGGGGGGGGGGGAGGGGCACAACGGGCCCACGGCCCTTCTCGTTAGCCGTACCTATTTATATATTTCAATAACTACTGTAATAACAGTAACTACAGTCTACAGATGGGTGTATAAACTTACGTAATTATATGCACATCATTGTAATTAATTTGTACGTCACGATCTATAAGTAAAATAACCGATAAAGATTCGGCTGCTTTATCAACTGTCATGTTTCGATGTTATTCCGATCGAAATTGAATTGCGCAGGTTTTTCGATACCACACTTTTGGTCGAATTTATTCAGATTTCCTCAGAGAACTAATCTTTGAAACGTCAACATCCCATCATATTATGGTCCTGATAGTTACTAAACAGATAATTACTAAAACGTCTCTACAGTAAAACTGTAACGGTCAATCCTCGTCAACGTTGGCGTACGAAAATGTTTTTTTTTTGAATAAATCGAACACGAACGCGCCGTGTACACCTACCAAACCTATTTGTCCGTAAAGAAATCGTTCGTTTTTTAAACGGCCGGTCGTTTTATTTGTTTTTTTTTATTTTTTTATTCGCGCGATTACAACACACATTCGGTTCGGTGTGCGGTTCGTTTCTAAACACGCACCCCCCCTTCCCCCCGCGTGATTGATGAACAGCATTAAATATCATATCGAAAACGGCGTTGCGTCATGTCAATATCGTCTACATGTTATTTGTTAATTACGATTATGGCGAGACATACCCGGCGGTAACTGCTCCAGTGAAATCATCGTGTGGCGGCTCCGGCGATCGACGGCGACGTGCACTCGGCTGCGCGGTCGGCGGTGCAATATTATTTTCGTTTGTCGCTATCGGATTTGAAACGCGTGTTAAGTAAACGTACACGGAATAATGTGACGATTACACGATTCGGCGTGTGGCGCGGTTACCGGTCGGGCGCACGGGCGAGCCGGTTATCCGCGCGCGCGCCACGGCCGCTATATTTGCGCGACGCGATATTATTATTATTATCGTTCGTCGACCGTCGCCGTTGGTTCGCCCGCGTTATCGCCGACAAATAGCGATAATATCATTTATCATCTCGCGTGCAGTAGTCGCGGGGCAGGGGGCCCGGGGACGCGGGCACTGCGTTCGGCTGGCGGCGAATTGTCGGATACCTTTTTGCTCGGTCTACGGCGTTTCGGCGGCGCCGGGTGCTAACGAGAAACCGGCCGCGCCGTCCGTACGGAATATTAGCGGGCGAGACCGGCGGCACGGATCCCGAAAAAGGCCGCGCGAATATTTATCGTTTCGGCGATTCGACGTTCTGGACTCCGCCGCCGCTGAAAGACGACACCGCGACCCCCGGGCTGTTGTACGGCGACGGCTGGACGGCCTGTAAATTAGGTGTCCAGAGAGAAATAACGTCAAACGACCGTGATAATAATAATAATAATAATATTGTTACCTGTTGCGATCCGAAACCGAACGCGACGACTGCGGATGAAAAACGAAACGAAAATCACCGCGCGAGACGACAATTATTGCGTGTATTATGTTCGTAACGGGTTTTTTTTTTTTTCCTTTCTACGATTTGTATTTATTTATTTGCTGCGTTTACGCACTTCGGTATTGTTCTCATTCGAAAAACGTGATTGTCGTATAGTTTAACGTCGCGGTCCTCGGCTGCTCTGCAGGCGGCACCGGTTCCGGAGACCCGTTTCGTGCGCTCGGCTGTGGTTATCGTACGGTGGCCGCGTACCGAAATAATAATTGTCGTCGTATATTATCGTGCGGCGGCGACACGACGTTCGTCCGGCCCCGAATCAAACTCGCCGCGGCGTGATAATTATAGCGGGGAGAGAGAGAGAGAGAGAGAGAGAGAGAGAGAGAGAGAGAGAGAGAGAGAGACAGAGACAGAGACAGAGACAGAGAGACAGAGAGACAGCGAGAGAGAAAAACAGAGAGAAAAACAAAAACCGTACACAATAATAATATCGACGATGATAATTATCAGGTATTATGGTAATGCGACCGTGCTCGAGCGTTTCCTGTCGCGCGCGTATAACTTTAACCCCGAGCGCTGTTTACGTGTACAAGGACCGCGGTGACCGAGAACCGACGACCGAACCGACAAATATATTATAATATTATTATCGTTATTATCATACGCGCGTCCGTGCGATACCGTGCACGTTGTACACGCGTCGTTATAATATTCTAACCGGAAATTCGTTGTAGAACGTACGCGTACTTAATAATATTGTGTCTCCGGAACGGCGAATGGTGTCCGTCACAACGTTACGCGCGTTATGGTGTGCAGAGACGAAAATGAAAGAATGACTCCGCGCGGCGTGGGTGGGCGTGAACCGTTGAGTTGAGGTGAACTCGGTTGGGCGGGATATAGAGGAGAACACATTGTAATTTATGTCCGTACTCGCGGACGGCGAAACGTCGCTAACGAAAAACGATTCGAAGTCTTTCGTACGAAATGTGTTGGGTAAATTTTCCGGTTTTCCCGAAAACCGCTTGGTAAATCAAAAAAAAAATAATCCCTTTATAAAAAGTACCGCCCGGATAAAATTACCGTTCGGAGAAGGTAATACGCTCGAAAATTGTAGCGAGATTAGCGGAGTAGAAAAGTCGTTCACAGATTAAAAAAAAAAGCTGTCCCGGGATAAAGGGGACGGGTGTAGCCACTATTGTAAATGGAAAGTTTGGAAGGTAAGATACAGAAACGGTAATTTAATGTGTATCTGTAAGCAACGATTAACCGTTCTTAACGAAAAAATGTTTCTGAGTGGAGTTCAGTTGATAGTGTTGCTTTGTCAACAGAAACATGTCGTAGTATGATAAAATAATTGCATATGCATTATATATTTTCTATAATACATTTATTTAATATTGTACCTATTTTCTCGTTTTCTTGTGTTTTTTTTTACATTTATTGGAAAAATCAAAAAAATGACCTCCTTAAAGTACCACCCCAATCAGATTTCCTTTTAGAAAAAGTGCTATAATTTTAAATCGGAGCGGAATTGCTGGTAGAAAAGTTGTTTACAGATAAAGAAAACAAAATAAACATCGTTGTAAAACTGTAATACATTTCCTAAGCTAACCGAACGATTTACAAAGGTACGTGAGGTTTTTTATTATAACGACTAGATAGTGTTGTAAAACTGCCGTTCGTTATTCAATATAGAGCACGCGGAATTACATATTAAAATATACTGTATTAAACAGGTGCGCTGAGACTTACGGCGGCGTAGCGTAAATATAACCCGTGTAAGAATGACAAAAACACGCGCGTTGAAAAATCTGCTCCTATTTGAAAGCAAAAACAAACTGAACGAATAAGCATTAGTTGTTGTTTAAATCCACGTGCAATAACGCGCTGTTTATTTTCTGAGTATAGGTACGTCGTATTATTGTAAAATGCGTCTAAACGCGAGAAAATACACATAAAACGTTGTTTAAAACGATACGTTTATGTTATAAAATTCGCCAGCTACACTTACGAATCGCGATCGACCTAGAAAGACGCGTATATCCATTTAAAACAAAAATGTATTATTGATTCTCAACACTTTTTCCTCTAAAATTAAAAAAAGAAAACCCCGCAATAATTTTAGTTGTCGACAAATCGGTTTAATTTGCGTTGGTTACCTAGTTCAAAAACAGAAGCCATAAGTCGCAAAAGTTTGGGAAGCACTTTAGGCTCATAAGTAATTCGGCCCATAAAATAATTTATTGTCATAATATACGAACATTTTAGATTCTGATCGGAGCTATCGGAATATATTGGTTTTATAATAATGTTTATTTATTTTTTTTTATTTATCTGTGAACGACTTTCCTACCGGCAATTTTTCTCCGATTTTCAAGTGGAGCATTTTTTCTCGACGGAAATCTGTCTGGGGTGATATTATATGGAGGTAACATTTTGATTCTCCCAGCTGTTTTGTTAATAAATACGGGAACCTGAAAAACATGGGCGAAACCGAAAAAAAACGTAGGAAAAACGGGAAAATAAGTACAATAATAAACCAATACTATTAAAGATAAATATTTAATGCATGTTATATGGAATTATTTTACCCTAATATGACCTATATATATATATATATATATATATTGTTGACAAAGCAACACTATAAATCGAACTCCGCTCAGAATCGTTTTTCGCTATCAATGGTTAATAATCGTTGCGTACAGGTATACATTAAACGCCCCTCCCCCCCCCCGGCCTTTCCGACTTTTCACCTACAACAGTGGCCCACTCATCGTGCGAATTATGTCCGTATCTTTTTTTTATTCTAAAATTATATTGTTATTGTGCAATGACGCGCGGTTGGAAAAAGTCCGCGCGCGCGTTCGTCTCGTCGACAGTAAAAACGTCAAGTACAATATGACGTAAGTACGCGCTAAGTATGCAATGACGTGGAAAACCGTTTAAAATAGTCGTAAGCAATTGGACGCGTGTAGGTAGTCGTGATCACACGCAATGACGTCGTGACCTTTATAGACGTTTGACATTGCAGCCGTCCGTCCTCGCGTAGCTCATTAGAGCGTCTTTAGCGGATTAGTATAATTTTTACCGCGATTAGTGGTGTTCGGTGCCTGAATTCGTCGAGATGCGCCTCGCCGTAAAAATATCCCGTCCATGTGAAGACGATCCTACGAAGAGTAATGTCAACAACGCGTGCCTAACCGTACTCCCTACTCGAAAAAAAAAAAACCACGACGAACGAATGACGAAATCCACAACTGCGTGTCTATAAACGTCGTCGCTAAGTGTAGAAAATACCGAATAAAACAAAAAAATTATACTAAAAAAAAAAAAAAAAAAAAACGGAAAAAAAACTAGTGAACCGAATTTTTTTTTCTAGAAAAATAATCTATGCGAGTAAAAACAAGTACATTCAAATATTTGCGTTTACATCAATATTTGAATGGATAGAAAAAAAAACTCGTGATCAATTATGAATCATGCCCAGTAAAATATTATGGAGAAATCGATTTGTTTTTTTTTTTTTTGTGCATTTAGAGGTCGTTGTCTAAACGATTTTTAATCGCACGTGTGGAAATATTATTATTGTTATTTTTTTTTTTTTCGTTCGACTGTATATAATTACACGAACAATTATTTCTAATTTCTATAATTTACAAAAGATAATATATTATGATGTGTAAAACACCCGATCGGAATAAAATTCCCGTGGAAATAATACACGGACGGAGAAACTTCTGTTGTTGGATTCGTTTGCAGATCGAATAGTATTATAATAATAAGGTGTCGATTTCCAATGAATAATAACAATTGTTATTATTCTTACAGCTGCTGGCACGAATTCTACGGGCATCCTAATTGAAAACCGAAATCTGTTTTCGTTGCCGATCGCCTATTTGTTCAGTTTCGACGAATCGAATATTTTTCAAACGGGCGGAACAATAATACTGAAACGATTGAATTTCAATAAAAAGTGTGATGAATTCTTTTGTCAGTGACGGTTTTTACCGAATTTCAATGGAGGGGGGACGGGTGACAATGACCTATTTATAGGGCACATGGGGACATAGCCCCCCAATCGCCTACCAAGTCACAAACATTTTTTCAAATCACCCTGTAATGCTCACCCTTATATTTCCCAGGATATCGATCAATGGTGGGGGAGGACTTAAAATGTCAACTCCCCTCCCCCAAATGTGTATCTCAAACAACAGCATCAAGCATTGGCTTCACCGACCTAATTAAAACACGGCACATGTATTAGTGTATTAAATACATATAGATAGGTGCGTAGATAATTTAAACTAACAATAAAGCAATTTAAGATTAAGCGAAAATGAATATTATAATATTTTTAATATTTAATATAAAAAGTCATATTATCAAAGTACGAAATCGATATTTATTTTTTTGAGGAAGACTTTTTTGCACATTCGAATACTCTAATTCAATTAATGTAACTTCAATCAATAATTCTTTTTTATTTATGGTTACATTTTTCAAATAAATCGGTACGAGTGTTGAGATTCAATGTATACCGAACGTAACCACGGTATTAAGAAGTGAAGTTTCAATCCTTCATTTAATTCGGGGAACATGGGTCGTATCATCAATTTGTATAATAATATACCGTTATATCTGTGTAATATTAAGAGCCGAAGGAGAGGAGGGCGAGCACTTCTATCGCCCCCCTGAAAACCGCCACTGTCTGTTTTTCACGTTGGATACTGTTATATTGGGGCTCTGAAACGGTTGGCAATTCGAATCGATGAAAAGTACCAAAAGACCAGTTGTGCAGTCGAGGATGTACGCCGTTATAATGCGTATAACAACTTCTTAATGTTTCAGTTGATGCGTGTACTTATTGTTTAATGTGTGATACGCAAGTACAGGTACGCATAGAGGCGTGTGTTAATTGCGCATCACTATTGTTTTTCTCGGCGTTTTCTATAAGACATTTGCGCACCGTTAAATGTTTACGTCGTACATCATTTACGTATCAAAATGTTTAACTACAGAAGGATCGAAAGTGATTAGGAGTACCAAATTGTTTCCTAACTTTCAGCTTAATATCCAGACAAGACATTATAAATATGGAAGGTGTATTTCTGTATTGAAAATATAATATATTTATATACTTATTACGATGATAACCACGGGTGAGCTGTAACAACGATCCAATCCAACCACATGTTATCAAATAATAAAATAATGTAACTAGATGTGTCTATAGTTGTTACACAAAATTGCATATTTCAAAGTAACCGTAGTAAGTACTAGATTAACTTAGACTAAGACTATAATAAATTATGTGTGTATAACTTTTGTACTTTTCAATATTTTAGATTCTGAGTGCAACGAAGAATGTATTGGTCTTACAATTATGTTTATTTATTTTTTTTTTTATGCGAACACTTTTTCGACCAGAAATCTTACACCGGTGTATACGGTGTAGAACTTTTTCTGAAAGGAAATTTTCTTGAGGTGGTACTTTAAGGAGGTCGTTTTTCGATTTCTCCAAGAGTTTTCCCAGCAAGTGTGAAAACCCGTGAAAAACATGGTAAAAACGGTAAAACTAGTATTATATTAAACAAATATTATTAAAGAAAATAAATTATGGTTATTTAATTATTTTACCATATTTTACCATTTTACCATGTATATTTTAACAAAGCATTACTATCAACTAAATTATGCTCAGAATCGTTTTCAGTAAGCAATAGCTTATCGTTGCTTACAGATACAAATTAATCTCTCCTCCATATCCTATCTACCGAACTTCTCACCAACGACAGTGACTGTGCCCGTACCCACTATCCCAGGGCTGCTTTTTATTATTATTATTATTATTTTTGATTTATTGTTCGATTTATTGAAGCAAAAATGATGTATAATATGTTGGTGAGAAATAAATGGACGGTGTGCAAATGATAACCGCTGACGTATAGATATAATATATTATATGCCTGTCTTCTGTTTCTGACTTCATCGACCATAATCCGTAACATGAATTCAACTTGAAAGTTTTAATGCACGCGATAGGTATTTCATTACCTATAGTAAATGTTACCTACCTACATTATATTAGGTAGGTACCTACGTGAAATAACACTTAAAATTATGATATCTAGTGATATACGATTAAGTATACTTTCAAATTGTAGCAATCAATATAAATTTAGATTTTTGAATTTAAAAAAAAAGTTTTGGGGAGGGATTGAGAATTGACCGTATACTCTGGCTTGTTTTTTTAGGACTTCATCACTGCCTAAGATTTATTAATTCGAATTTCACGAAAACATAAAAATGTTTAAGATAATATTTTGAATTTAAACTATTGATTCGTAAAATACATAAATATGCATTCGAAACTAATAAAAATGACGGAAAAACGCTCAAAAAATAAAAAAAAAAAAATATATTAAAGTTTAACTGCCGTAGTATTACAGAAATCGAATTATGTACTTGGAACGCGTTGTCATAAATAACCCCCCCCTCTCTAAAAAAAAAAATTCCATTTTGCATTAAAATCCGAGCCCCGAATGTTATTACATCCGTTTTTTACAGGAGCGGCTCGAAACACCGGGACAATGTTCGCGTTTTACATTTTGACTGTGATATACCTGATGATGAATTTTCAATTTTAAACCGGCCGTATAATAATACACTTGCCATAATAACCCAGGCGACACATTTATTCATTTTTTTTTTTTTTTTTATTTTTATATATATATACTTATTTACGAGTATTAACCATTTTAATATATTTTTTTTCCTATTTTGTTTTATCATCTTTTGTATGGTTTTGTTGTGAAATCCGTACGTTCAGCCACCAGCAATGATAGATCTTTAGCCGTCAAATCGTTCCGACAATGGCCTGCTGGATGCATTGCAACGAAGCGATTTATCATCACATCCCAACTCTGGTCTACTCTAAATGGACTCGGAACCGGACACGGATGATAAGCTGCAATTATTTTCTGCATAAATGAATATTTTCCGATTCGCAAGCGTGTGCCGTGGAATCCCAGGCAATCGAACACATAATTTCCGTCTGTCCGAAACGGGCACCGTCAATGACGTCTTAAGAGCAATTGCTGCCTGAGTGAATTCAGCGGAACATTGACTATTGGACATTAGTTTATAATTATACATTTTTTTTTGTTTTTTTATTATTATTAAAACGGTGTACTATCTTCTACAGTGTTATTGGTAAACCGTTATAAACATATAAATGTATTTCGCGGTTTCGTTACCGCCGCAATGTCACCATACGAATAAATAACAAAACCGTGTATACACGATATACGTCTGAAAATTATTGCGTTTAATATTGTTCTAACGATTGCCGTGCTGAATTCCCAGGGACGTTATTATTTATTCGTTTTGTGCGAACCGATTGTACCCGACATCCAAACAAATCATGATCACATTATGTTATGCATTACCTATACGTTTTGCAATAATTTTTTAATACGAATTGCCGGAGCGGGACCCTCGTGCTTATGTTTCGATTCGAACCATTAACTTCAGCAGCAGTGTAGGCATAGTTGGGTAAAAGTTGATGTTTTTTTTTTTTTTTGATTTTGACAAAGTGTAAGTATCGTTTTCGTCGTCTGTTCGCGGGAGTTTAATCAATCGTTCGTATCGTTTATACTATTATCAATATAAACATTGAAATAAAATATTCGTTGTTTGAATTCTGAGCGTAGCGATTAACGTATTGGTTTTACGAAAATACGTGTGTATTTATTTCTGTTAACACAGATACCCTTCACAAACCAGCAACGTGCCGTTTGTTGTGGAAACTTATTTTCGTAAAAACGAGTGTGTAGAAGTTTCACGTTTCCAGCTGTGTAAATAAACAAAATTTTCAATATTGGAATGATAAAAACTAACAGGAAATACACTAGAGGCCTTTGAATAGTGATCGTGTCACAGTGTGGTGCGTTGCAATGTCACGAATAAAGATTATTAAAGAATTGCTTGAAAAAATTATGCAAAACTTTTCATTTCGCTTGGGGAAATGTATCGATAATAAATGGCAACACTTGACTGAAATTTTATTTAAAACTACATAAATTGACATTTCCAATATTGCGCAATAAATATACGGAAAAAAAAATTTATAACTTAAATAGTTCTTTTTCTATTCGTCTTTAAAACTAGGGAGGGTATTTTGCCGCACTCTGTATTTTCTGACTGTAAATTACATTTCTACCAGAAATCTTGCTCCAATAATAAACTTCAGGAGTGGTTTCTGATAGAAATATTCTGTAGTTCCACGTGATTTTCTGAATAATTAGAAAAAACTGAAATACGTACGCAATAACGGGTTCTGCTTTTTTCAATTTTTTTTTTTTATTGTATTTACTTAAAAATAATCGTAGAAACCCGTAATTTTCACAAAATACTTTTATTAGCTTTTTATAGACGTGGTCGATTTTTCAAATAATTTTGGTGATTCTTGAACTTTTGAAGTTTTCTATTTTTTTTTTTTTTAGATTTTATTTAGCTTGATGAGCATACCATTATTTTATATTGTATTATATATTTTTTTATTATTATTATTTTTTTTTTTTTTACTTCTCATTAAAAAATAATAATTCAGTGGTAATTGATAAATAATTATCGATGTTATCTCGATTAAATATATAATTATTACATATTTATGTAATAATGTATCCACGATTCCTAACTTTATCCCCACATCTATGGCTTTCCTATAATGGTATCTGGTATTGTGTACGAGGAGCATAGTGGTTGCACAATATAGTGGTTTTTAATTAAAAAATATATAGTTAAATATTTATTTTATTGTTCAGTTTGAATATTAGGTAGAACAATTTATTAATGCTAAATAATCGTTGAGTGTGGCGGTGCAATTTCTGTGGCATTAGAAAGGTATTAATAATACCGCTTAACCGAACTGACTAGAACGAAATATTATTATTTTTCGTTTATTATAACGAAGATCGGGTGAAAAACGACACGTTTTCAATATTCCAGGTAGTGTCATAGTACGAGTAAAGCTTTGGTAAGCTTAAAACTCGAAAAAACATAATAAGTAAATGGAAAAAATATATTATTTTGATACTGCGACGTTATACCTGAAAAATAGTTTTTCAAAAAAAAATGTATATTACCGAATAATTCAAGAAAACAACAAGTTTATATTTTTTATCAGTTTTAATATGAGAGATTAATTTAGATAAGGCGTCTTCTGTACTTCTTCTTTCTCGAAAACCAAATTAAGAATTTGTTAGCATATTATTTTTATTTAAAAAATGAATAACTCTTGGATAAATACATTTTTCAAATATTTTAGTATATTAGACATTAAAGAAATTGGTCGATAATTATTCGGATCTAATTCACTTCCACAATATTTATACATTTTACAATACTAGCATGCTTAAATTCATTCGGAATAAAATATTTTTCAATAAATAAATTTAAAATATTAATCAATGGAACAGAAACTAACTTTTTAACAGATTTTAGAAATTCTACAGTGATTTTATCAGAACCAAAAACAAAATTATTTTTTGACGAATCAATTTTAAGAAATATTTCATCTGATGTAACAGGTGTGAGATAAATGGACGATTTAATATGAGAATTTTTATTTTCTCTTTCAAATTCTATATACGGTATTTCAGACGCAAGATCTTTTCCTATATTTACAAAATGTTTATTAAGTAAATTACAATCAATTCCAGTAGGAATTTTTTTCTTATTAATTTTTAGATATTTCCAAAGCAATTTCCATTGCTCTTTTAAATTATTTTTATCAATAATACAAATTGTATTTTTAAATAATTTTCGCGCAGCATATTAATGTAATGTTTAATTTTTGATTTTTAAAATAAAAACCATTTAATAATTTTAAAGAATTATTTATTTTTTTCCTAAACAATTTATTACGGTTTTTAATTGATGTGATTATTCCTTTGGTAATCCAAGGATTTTTTCAAACAATTAGTTTCAGAGTGGTCATCACGATTCAATAATAACAAATTTTCGAAAAACTTACTATACTATATTTTTCCATCATCTTCATCGATTGTTTTTTACTAACAATTTTTGTTAGACAAACCGCTCTGCATAACCTCAGGTAAATTTTCATAGTTTAGCGTCAATTTGTTTTTACATAAAACAAATAGCCGGGCAATGATTGCGTTACGTCCAACTATTTATGTGTGAAAATTACGACTGATTTTTTTTTTGAAGTCTTATAAAATATCTGTTTGATATGCTTATAATTTATAACGGTTTTCAATATATTAGCATCGGTTTCCGGTAGACAGAATATTATAATATTATAGATAAAAGTTGTTGACCTATTTATTTTGTACGGTAATATACATTTTTAAAAATTTTAAAAAGTTTTTTCAAAACTAACTATGAGTGGTTGTTATTCGGTAGTATACATTTTTTTTGAAAACCTATTTTTCAGGTATAAGGTCACGGTATCAAAATAATATATTTTTTCCATTTACTTATTATGTTTTTTCGAGTTTTAAGCTTATCAAAGCTTTCAACATCGGGTTCTCAACATTACACGAAAATTCAATCTTTCAACAGCGAAATGTCAATTCAATTTTTTCAAGATCTCAATATCAAATTTAGTTGTCAACATTTTAATTCCAAATCAATTTTCAGCGTCAAGATATCAAATCAATTTTCAACATCAATTAGGGGATCATGGGCTAAATTTTTATTTTTGTGTAATTTATTTAAATAGTTTTGTTAAATGTTTCTGGTACAGTTTGATTTTTAAAAGATTGAGAAAAAAATAATGTAAAAAGTATTGTTAAAGATGTGATAAATATCAACTGCGCCAGAACATACATATTTCTACTACTTACACGCGTGCGTTACAAGCGGTCTCTCCGATACTGTAGTAGGCGAAATTTTCTTCCTATTTTCGTTTATTGCCTTTTCAAATAATACTTCGTCGAAATGAAATATCAATATTATTTAATGAACTTAAAAAATATCTATCCACTACATGTATAGTACCGGAGAAGACTAAATCTATAAAGGAGAAGGGGGTATTTTTTCCAAATTTCTCTGACTATAGATATCAATTTATATAAAATTGAGCGTAACGTAGAAGTTTTTCCTTTATAAAGAGTTTATGTTAAAATTTGTATGAGTATCCTTAAAACCACTGCGTTTCAAAACTCGTTCAACAACACGGTTAACTGTTGCGTACAGATATGAATTAATTTGCCATTTATATCCTACTATCCCGGAGTGCACGAGGTTAGTTTTTCAATCTAGAAAGGTAACTAGTTATTTTTAGCATCTGACTTGGCTTGGCACAAGCTAGAGTACACGACACTAGGAAATTCTATGCCAATATCATTGTAGCGACTACATAAGACAGTAAAATGTTCATCAATAAGTCTTAACTGTTCAAAATACCAAAATGAAGAATAATCTCGGAAAAATCTAAATAGATTTATACAGTTACTTCAAAATCTCTGTCGATTTCCGTTAGAAAAAAATATTAGAAGAATTACATACAAACGTATTTGGACAAGACCTTAGGTTTTAAAAAAGAACAGACGTAGAGCAGCACCTGCATTGCATTTAGAAAAAATTTACTGTGAGTTTATAGGCGAACACAAGAGTATTCTGCGAAGTCGAACACAAAGCTAACATAATAAATTCAATGGGGGAGAAGGGGTACTACTAGGTTAAAAAAATAGACCGTCATTTCAATAAACTATAGCATGGCTTGAGACGCTATACCTTACTAACTTCTTCAATAGCTTTTCGACTTAAAAATGAAGCTGGTTTTGTTTAAACGAAGCTAAAATTACTGATTTTCTACCTCACTAGAACTAACTTACTATTCCAACTTAAAAAACTAGCCTCGTGTATACCGGGCATTACTATTATAATAGATCATATCTCACAGAATTTTTTGGAAATAAACTCAAGGACTATTTTTACTAAAAAACTTTTTAAAATTCCGCATTTGATTTGTAACATAAGTGGTATACGCGAGAAACCTGCAAAGTATACTTCTCCTACGATTTCTCACCCCCCCTATAAATTTATGTGCATATATCATATATGTAATCGTAGCTAGGAACGCGCACGGGTACGCGGGTATTACAGTTGTATCTATAGACATCATTTTTTAACATTTTTTCAATGTATCTTTAGCCGTATATGACTTACAATGCATCATACCAGAAGCGAATTTTAGTGTGGGACGACGGGGCCATCGTCACCCCTCGGACCGAATCTCAATTGCCACGGAGAAACAGTCCCGCCTACAAACATCGACTATTATACGTTTGCATTTTATTGTGTATAGATATAGGTACATCAGTGAACATCGTCTTTCATTTTTTTAAATATCGTTATAATTGTTGTTTCTTCGTGAATTCGCTAAACATTTTCTCGCGTTAAAAATAAATATACAATTCGAATCAAACGATCCAATATGGATGGTTTCAAACAATATTGAATTATAACAATAATACAGTGTAACGGACATTGCCGACGGTGTTAAATATTATTACAAAATATTCTGGAGACAAGATCGAATATGGCGCTCGGGTTTTCATTGATTGGTTTCAAGCTGAAAAATACAAAACATCGTTAGTGTCAAATAATAATAACAATGTAATAATATTATTATATTTAGTGCATATTATGCACAAAATGTATACTAAACGTAGGTATTGGCGTTACGATTTACATGTATTGAATACATTATTCAATGTACTGGGCGTTTTTTAAAATTTTTTCTTATCAATCCTAGCGATTATATTAATTGTGAATATTTTTCGATTAAAATTTCGATCTTTTCAGAGATTATGCCGAACCGTCTAATATGAATTTTTTTTTCAATATTTTCGAAATTTTACCCTTATCGCGACTCTTGTTTTTTCGTCATATAGTAGCCCCCGATTTTCAAACGAGATTAGTTAGCGAGTTGACATATAATTATTCGCCAATAACAATTAACAATTGCGAAAAACATTTGTTTTTTTTTTTTTTTATTTAAAACATCAACAAGAAAATAAAACCTATTTTATACAAATTTGTATAGTCGCGATTGCATCACGTTCATAAATAATAACGTTTTTAGGCTGATATTGTCGGCCCCGTGATATTCAACAATTTAATCGCCGTTTCTCAAATGTTAACTACGGTTACGTCGTGTATTGCGATTACGGATTTATCCAGGAACGAACGGTTTAAAAATGCGAACTCGTTGATCCGTTCAGAGTTTTAAATGTATACACATAACATGAATAAATGGGTTAATATTTTATTTGTAACGACTTTGTTTTCAAACTAAAGTTCATATTTTCAATAAGCTTGAACTTTATTTAGGTCGCTCGTTTTTATTTCAAATTTTACATTGAGAATAAATTAAGGAATATATTTTAAACAGTTTTGTTATTAACCTGACCAACCCTGAAATTTAAACTCTGAACACTACTATAACGTAAATAATCATGTTATATTGCTCGTCAAAAACACACAGATAATAAATGAAATTGAACTGAGCAATTTCTCTTAGAAAAAAAAAATGAACTAGTCTTTATCAAGCTTCGTTTAATTTTATATCTATGAAATTGTTCGTTGACGAGTCAATAATATTTTAAATGAACGTTCCAAAGTCTGGATTTATCAACGACGGCTTGAGAATTTTTTTTAAATATTATAATACTGACGAATATGCGTTCCGAGTTTATTGTGTACGTGTTTACTGAACCAAACTTCACCTCGAATGTATTTGCTACTAAATCGATAAAAAGTCACAAATCGAATAACCGGACAAACAATATTTCAGGTCCGTTCCGTAGAGACTTTTTTTTTTTTTTTTTCATAATACTTTGATATGAAATTGTAAAGATAATATAATTTAATCTTTTTCCACTCTCGTAATTGAAAGAAAATAATTCCGATGTATTTATCAAGACAAGTTCACCGCCAAGACAAAAGACATATTATGGACATAACATAACTAGACCAGGAATAATAGTAAAATCACGCAGCCGGTGATGTTAGTATTTTAAAAAATTATTATTACATCTCGTCGCTATAATTTAATATTTTTCAGTTAAATTTTAATGTTTGGGAATTCGAAATGAAAATATAAATTTATATTTAAAATTTTAAAAAAAATGTTGGTATCAAAAATTTTTACTGAGGTTGAGTAAATTATTTTTAAACGGTTTTTAAAGTTTTGTGAAATGTGTAATTTTTGCGTGCTAAATTTGTACAACTTGACAATATTCTTATCATATTGATTTAAGATGCGAGTCTGATAAACGCTTATTGTTTATCGTTAGTGAAATTTGAAAATTTAAACAACATTCTGTTTACACCAAAAAATGTTTATATTTTGTTTGATGTTCACACCGCAAAGACAAAGCAGTAACATTTTATCAGTTTTATATTTTTTATCATTGCAGTTATATTAACTAGCATATTGTGTCGGATGTAGACACAGTTTATCTGGTTTACTTACCAATTCCATTTTTATGGCAACACCGTTGGAAATTGAAATAAAAATATTAATAATTATTAATCATCATTTACGTATGGTTATAAATTATTACGATTATTATGCGTGTAATGCAATTGATTGTTTACTGATAATAATTAGGAAACGGAATTATATGCACTTAACGTCCATAAATAAGCGTCAAAAAATCCCTAAAAGTAATCACTTGTAAATATTTTAAAAAGCCAAAAGGGTAGAGGGAGTAATATAAAAGTCCCCTTATCTAATGTTAAATTAGTTTCTAACACTACAAAAACGATTGACACAAGTCTTTTTTTCTTCAAATAAAATTCTGCGTAGTATAGAAAAAAAAAATACTTTGTGTTTATCATTTTTTAGCATTAGACAATTTTATTTAATAAGGTTAGGAACGTTAGATGGGGAAGACTTTTGCACCCCTCTACCACTACTGCTTTTTAAATATTTGTATGTGATTTTTCAAGACTTTTTGGTGTTATAACAGCTTTTTTGCGGATTTTAAATGCACATAGATAAATCAATTTCCTACTGATAATGATAATTTTTAACGATAACGAATTTATAATTAACTGCATAAACAATTACGATTCGTCGGATGTCGCTTTACCGAAAATACTCATACATTGCAGAAAACAGGAACGAAACAGAAAATCTTCGACGTTTTCCGCTTTTTAGCGGACATAAAAATGTGTCTAGAGACACGAACATTGCGTCGCCAGAATGGATTTTGTCGCAAAAATGTCTCCGTTTTATCTCTTGTTTATACGCCCTGGTGTAAAGTCAAACTAGGTCAAACGTTTATACGAGTTTGTATAGTTATATCGGTTAGCCTTGGTCAACGAAATATAGAATAGTTTATACTGAAATCATTTTTATGACCTAACGATTCCGTATAAACAACATTTTATTTCGGGTATTTTGGCGTTTGCGGATATCGCTGTCGTATTTCAAGAATTTCGTACATTTCTAGAGCATATTTTAAGAGTTTCGCGCATTTCTAACCCAACGAAACGAGAATCACCAAATGATTGTTCAAGATTTTTATAAACAAAGCACACGTGCTTTTGAGGGGGTTTTTTTTTTTGTTCGGTCGACTAAACCGCGTAGTTTACACACCGGAAAATGCGTTTCATAATCGAACAATTTCCATAACGTACACCGAATTGTATTCGAATAGAATAGACGTTTTTAGATTTTTACGGCATATTTTAAGATTTTCATCGTAAATAATATTGTTATTACTGTTTTTTAATTTTCAAATGATAATATTTTCGGTGCATTCAATGCGTATCCGCGTAGTCATATACATTAGATGTCCTGGCGTATAAACGTAGTCTGTAATAATAATAATTTATAACTATATAAAGTACGGATTATAATGAAAATTGCATTTTTTCTCTGATTGTCTTAAAGCAATGCATTCCAAGCAGCAAAAAATGGGTTATATATATATCAAAGAATTAAAACATACAATTTAAAAATAATTATACGATTATACATTTTTTCATTTTTTTAGAAACTTTATAGTGTTATCGGAAAATTCGATACAATTTATTTCGATTTCCTCCTAAACGGATTAAAAGAATCATATTTCTATTTTCAAAATGTATCAAGTATGGATTTACTGATTGTATTCGATAAATACGGTACCGGCTGCATTAAAGAAAACGATAAGCTATCTATCGAAATCGTAATGTAGTCGTATTGCACTATTCGCACTGTTGTGTTTAGTGACTTTATATACCTAATGAAAAAAAAAAAAAAAAAAAACGTTTTTTTCAACGTTCAAAATAATTTTTAAAGCATTTTAAATTCTAAGTGTAGCGAAGAATGTATTGGTTTTAAAAAAGATGTTTATTTTATTATTTTTCCTTTTTATTTTTTAAAAGAAATCCAGAAATCTTACTCTAATGTATATGATATAGACCCTTTCCTAAAAGGATATTTTCTTGGGGTGGTACTTTAAGAAGATTATTTCTTGATTGTCACGGTAATTTTCTCATTAAAAGGGAAAAAGTGAGAAAAAACGTAAGAAAAACGGGACATTTCCGAAATAATGCTTTATTAAGTTTTCAAGTTTGTTATTTGTTGTAATTCAATTAAAAATATTCGTAAAAACTTGAAATTTTGACTTATATTTGCCTGTTCTAGACGTGGTGAAATTCTCAAAAAAAGTAAGCCATTTTTAAGCTATTTATAGACATTTAATAAACAAATTTGATTAAAGGAAATAATATATAATGTCTATTTAATTATGTTACCATAATATGACATATATATTGTTGACAAAGCACCGTTATCAACTGAATTCCGCTCAAAATCGTTATCAATGGTTTATCGTTGCTTACAGACATACATTCAATTCTATTGTGTATCCTACCTATTCAGCTTTCCAGCCACAACCATGGCTGCACCAGCGTGCGAAATATGTCCGTCTTTTTAAACTTTTTTTTTTTCAAGAAATTTTTCTTATTTTTTTAGAGCATTTAAATGCGCACCCTAATTTTAACGCGACTCGATCTATAACCGCGCGAACTCTATCCGGTCAAGGAGTGGGCCATAGGCAGTGTACTGTACCTGACGCAACTGGTTCCGGTGCCGGCGCCGCTTCTGCGACTGTCGGTGCCACGGCCTCCTCGGCGGCCGCCGGCGCCGCTTCCGTCGTCGTAGCCGCTGCGTCCGGCGCCACCGCGGCCGCGTCCGTCGCTGCGGCCGCGTCCGGCGCCGGTTCGGCTGCTGCGCCGGCTTCCGTGGCTTCGGCCGGCGGCGCTTCCGCGGGACTACCGTCGGCTGGAGCCGCGTCCGGTGCCGCTGCCGGCTGTTCCCCCTCGACGGTCGCCGCCACCTCAGCAGTCGCCGGGTCGGCGGGCGCCGCGGGATCTCCTTCGGCCGGCACTGCCGCCGGATCTGCGGGCGCCGCGGGGTCGCCTTCGGCCGGTGGGCCGCCTTCGAGTCCTGCGAAAGAAAAAAAACAACAAAATAAATCGTTTGCGAACTAAACACCGCGGTGGATACGAAGACGAGACTCTACCCGGAAACGAAAGCCCTTCCGGTGATGGTTTGTGCCGGAACAACGGTTCGGCGGATCTCATCAATCGCACTACCCACGTACAAAAATATTTGTACAGTAACGTCCGGTCTACATAAAAACCGAGCTGGTGTTTTCGAATCCGCCGGATTTCGATTATTCGAGAGCGGGTCGCGCGCGTATAGGGAGATTTTAAAATGCAAATTTATCGACATAAAAATCCAGTTTTACAGAGTTTACACAATCTTGCTCAAGTCAAAATTATTCCGCGGCTATTTTTTTTCCCGACTTTCCGTGGTTCGCACACACGCATTTGAGTTTGGTGTGTACATCGGCGTTGACGAAAATCACAAATCTCAACGCCAAAATACATTTTAACTAAACCGTCATCTATGTTTATGGAATTATTTTTAATGTATGATGCAAAATTTTTAATGTAAAATCTAAAATATTAGTTTCACCCCCGAAAATAAGCATAACGAAAAATAACGGCAATGTAACGTTTTAGAGCTACTATTTGTTTTACAAGTTGTTTAAAAAAAAAAAAAAAGCCGAAAATGTCAATACGAAATTTTGGTGTCTTATCGAGGATTGATTACACTGTAGATATAAAACAAATAAAATGTTTTCCATACATCTGCGAAACCTCGTGGCTCGTCTATAATATATACGCAAGTGGGCAGGTGCGCATTTTAATTTATTGTAGTGCACAAAATGCGTCGTAATGCACATAGAAATAGTCGCTGCGATCATTTTTATTGTGTGATTGGGAAATTTCTTCGAAAACGTTTTCACGCCAAATGTATACTTATTTACAAATTTACCGTATAATAATAATGACGTAGTGCACACGTTCTAAACGTGTTCTTATTTTGAAACATTTATTTTCTTCTACACATACAATAGTTATAGGTAATTGTAAATACAATGTTTCCATAGTTAATTAAGGACAAAATACGAATTAGAAAAATTGTACTCGTTCGTCCAAACGTAACTGAGACTGTTGATTTTCATATATAATTTGGAAACGAATAGGAACATGATATAGTTATACATAACGTTAGTTATTTTAATAAAATTTTCGAAAGTTTAAAACGTTTTAAACCTGTATATTGTATAAAACGTTTTAAACATGCAGGGACTACATCACCTATAGTTTTATATGATAATATACAGCATACATTTTGAAACGAGACTTCAATGTTATCGGCGGAAAACTAGGATACAAAAGTGGGAGAAAGTGACTCGATGTTCTAAATTAGTAAATTTTAGTGATATTCAGTTAATGCGTTCGTTTATATTTATATATTTATGTCCCACCGTGTTTTCCCGACGATAATATTAAATTTTCTCAATCAGATTTTGTACGAGGGTAACACATTATATGTGTTTGGAGAAAAATTGTATTTCCATTTTCATCCCTTCACCGTTAGAAGGAAAAACCTATTTTTTTTTTTTTGGTTCGTTCGATTTTCAATATAGCCACTTTATAAATAAATATTGATGTAAACGCATTTTAACGCAACAAACATAGGCAACATTAAATAACATTCATCATTACCCAGCGATTTAGGGGTAAATATAAAAATGTGTGTTTTTTTTTCTTTTTAAGACATGATCCATTAACAAAACACAATTGAAAAAGAATAAAAATTCCAATATATACAGAGATATACTCATCGGGAAAACACGGCTGGACATCACGTAACACACGTTATTCATGGCCAACCGCTGTTTTATGTTTATTAAACAATAAAATAGTTAAAAACAGTACGATGTATGAGAAATGATGAAAAAAAAAGAAAATATTTTTTGTTGAAATCCCAAATCATGATGAACTTTATCGGAAATTTGTACCGAAAACGATAATTGACTTATAGTGGCTTATATCAAACGTAGTAACAAAAAAGTGACATTTCATCAAAAGAAAAAAAGCAACGGATTGCGATTTGCATGGTATATTATAGTCACCTTCGTCAATCGATTTCTGTTTTTTGATGGTGTCTTTGACCACGGAGTTGAGTAGGGGTTGTGGTATGGCGGTGACGGCGGTCATCAGTTTGTCAACCAGGTCGTCGACGCTGAGTGGGTTGTTCGAGCACACGGTATCCTTGAGATAAGCCCACAGCTCTGAGGGACAAATAAAAAAAAAAATACAAAAATCAATTAACACCGCGCCGTTGTCGAGCGAAAAATCCTATCCGAACGGAAATTACCTTCCGGCGCCGGGGACGGTGGTTGAGGTTCTGGTTCCGGTTCGACAACCGGTTCTTCGAGTAGCTCGCTGTCGCTCTGTGCCGCGTCTTCGGTCGCGTCTGTAAGATCGCCTCCGACCGATTCGCCTTCGGTAGTCAATCCGTCGTCGGTCTTTTCGTCTTCTGTGCACTCGCCGTCGTCTCCTTCGCCCTTTTTAATCGACAACAAAACGATGATCAGTTTTCGAGATTTAAAAAAAAAAAAAAAATTATAATAGTAACAATTTCGTTTTTTACCATCGTATAACACGTATAGGTACGTTAACCCACCTACCCGTCGCCAACGCGGCTCCGCGGACATAATTACAAATAATTATCTAGACTGTTTCATCGCCGATGTGTAATTTTTACAAAATCTTAACACCCATCTCAAATAGTATATTATTTTTAATAATTACGCCGTTCGAAATTTCGTGAATGTCAATCGTCGACAGTATATCGCCAACTGCCATTCTAATCCAATCTGACTTCTGCCAAAGCCCTTCTATTTGCCGATGACATAAAATTATTCATCATCACAGTCAATTTTCCGTTTGATTGTCTTCGCCTTCAATCCCACCTTGGTTCTTTCTGCATTTGAGTTAACAAGGTCTACCTCTGTCTTAATATTGGAAAGTGCCACATAATATCATTCTCCAAAAGTCTCTCACCCATCTCCCACCACTATTCCTTTAGCGGCTGCCTAATTAATCGCGTCGCTTTCGCAAAATATTTAGGTATCTATTTTACACCCAATTTGTTATTTAAACACCATATATCAATTTCATCATTGGCTGAGCTCTGAGAATTCTGAGTTTTTATCAAATGAAATACCTCACACTTTTCTTCTCGCCTCTGTCTCCGTGCACTTTACACATCACTCGTACGGCCAATACTCGAATGCGGCGTAGTAGTTTGGCGTCCTCGCTTCGCGCGCGACCAGCTTCGCATTAAACGCGAGCAGTTTCCGTTACTTATTGCCTACTGTTTAAAAATTTATCATTGACAACACGACTATTCAATCATCCGTTCTTTCCTTGGGTGACCGATCAAAACATCTCCAATTAAAAATATCTCTAGTTAAGAATATCTCCTATGAAAATATCTTTAATAGAAATATCCCACAGGAAATAATAACTAATCACAATATTAGTATTGTGTAGTATTATCTGAAATATTTTTCACGATTACGAGTTCCTACACTAAGGTTAGGTATGGCGTGTGATACAATTACATCGAGAGTTAATTATTTTTAAAATATTTATTTAATTTTTGTTCAATCGAATATTTATTTTATTTTGTTTAAGAGGGTTTGCTTACAATCTGAAATTAATAGGTAATCAAAAATATTCATATAAATCCTAGAGATTTTATTAGGAGACATTTTGTACCGGAGATATTTTTTATTGGAGATATTTCTTACTGGGGATATTATTAACTGTAGATACTTTGTCGGAGATAATATGACCGGAGATATTATGACCAGATATATTTCGACCTAGGACCCTGTTCTTGACCTACCAACTTTTGTTTTTGCCGTATTAAGGCTGATGTCTCCTCCGTCTATCCTCTTCTCGATGGAACCATCGATGCCCCAGATTAACTGTCAACCATCTATTTCCGGGTCCCCACCTTCTCCACCAAAAACCATTCTTTTTCCCCACGTGCTTCAACACTTCCTCTCTTATGGGTTTAATAATTCCCTTCACCGCGCTTTGCGTCTACTCAATACTGCTTAGTCTGGTCCCATTACACTTTTTCTTCTAGGTTTAAATTAATCCGCTACTGTCACCCTTCCCACCTAGTACTAGTTAGTCTAAGATCTTCTGGAATTAAACTGCCAGCATTTGTGTTATAGTTAACAAATAAATAAATAAATAATTAAGGGCGAAGAGGTACGGCCGTTTTTATAGACGAACACGACTTTTTGGTAATAGGGATAATTCGTTATTTCCAACATAATTTTTTTTTCTACTGTTCTTATTAATTTACTTCAAATAATGGTACACAAAGACGGTAAAAAAAAAATTTAGGGACATTAAGTTAAGTTTTTAAGAACATATTACATACGATTACGATTTGAGACGAAAATATTAAAAAACGGAGTTCATTGCGGTTTGTAGATAATCTTCCTATTCCGGATAAGACAAATAATCGTCGAAATCGGACCGATCAGCGAGGCATGTGAGTTTTTCTCGTTTGAGTTTAAAAAAAATAAAAAACGTACCGGCAACCGGGCTCCTCAGTGAAAACTTATTGAACATTTTAAGATTCAATAATAATCTAAACAATTGAAAACGTACGCCCAATCACTCCGGCAAGCACCCAAAATCCACGAGGGTGGATCGTTAAATTCTAACGGAAATAGTGTCAGAAGTCAGGCCCCGAGCACAGTGCTCGTAAACTGTAAAAGAAATAAGTGCCTACTATTACATTTTACAAGAATATACCGACTATGAGTTTTCAGTGACGAACGGCGAAACTCTGTCAAGTCCTGCTTTCACAAATGTGTATTCATAATGATAGACAATAAATTAATAATTATTGGTTTTACTACGCTGTTTTTTTTGTTTTTAGATTCTGATCGGAGCGAGAAACGTGTTAGTTCTATTAATGCTTTGGTCGCTTTTATTTTTTACGTTTTTTCTCCGTGTTAACAACTTTAAATTACCACAAAACTTGCTTTGACCGAAAAATTAAGAGAGACTTTTTTTGTTGCGTTTAGTTGGCGCGACGAGGAGGTCATTTTTTAGTTTTCCAAAGGGTTTTCATATTAATTGGGAAAAACAGGAAAGAAATATTTCGCCCCCTTGTCCTCGATTTCAAAATGACCAGTAGCGTAGGTTGTATTCTACACTTGCTTACGCCTTAATCCGGGCCTGGATATTCGGGATCGTTTCCCGGTCCTGAAATTTAGCGCCATTTCCCGCTGACGAAAAACACGATCGTGTCAAAATATCGGAAAAAAAGTTTCGCCAATAAGTGTCCGACGATAGGCGAAAACGTTAAATTTCGGGAACGGTATATTTGTATAGCCAATTAATGGCGACAGTTTTTCTTTAAACTCGAACTTTTTACTTCTTGTACAGAATACGTGTCAAAGCGATTGAAAACAGCTGGGTGCCTCGAATTTATCGGATTCAGCGATTTTATTATTGTTATTATAATTTTTAATTAAATTAAATTCCGCTTTTATATATATACACATCGAGGTCAACAACCTATTGTATACCGCCCCTCTCCCCGGACACGATGAAGATTAAATGAAGAAATTAAAAAAAAAAAACCTGCACTCCGGTAGACGCAATTTTCGTTACCCGCCTAAATTTAACGTATTTTAATCTCTTCGCACGACATTTTGCATGTTTTTCGTTGCGCCTCGTTCTCTCGACTCATACATCATATTTTATTTCACCTGATCCCCGCGGATATCCATCATTATTTGCTCGTAAATATTTCCGTACACACTCTTTCGGCGGTTTTTTATTTTTTTTCAACGTTATAAGTTTAATGATTTCAGGGGCGTTACCGTTATACACCGAAATGAACCTTTCCGTTTTGCGCCAATACATGTTTCCGTCAAATGCGCCGCCTGTCGATTTCCGCCTGTACCCGTCTCTGCCAACACGAATCAACTCTCCCTTTTCCACCCAAACGCGTGTTTCCACCAAAAACAGATATTATTGATCGATATCCGTCAGAAGTTCGCCGGTGCACGAAACGAATGTTCGAAATTCGGCATACGAGACGCGTATTTCAAACACGCATACCACGATAGGAAAACACGTAAAACAGGCCTTGAATACCAAATATTTATTTCAAATTTTGCGGTAATTAACAGAAACCAACACTAATAAAGTTAATACAAATATAAATTGTATTACGCACACGGGATGATTGTTTTCCGTAACAACATGCAGTGTCAATGCGTGATTTTGATCAGCGAATGAAACCGCGATGTCCTATCGGACCACCGTGACCGTAGAATTTTTCAGGTACGTAGGTTATTGTTTTGTTGGAAATCGGCCGATACGTCTTTCGGCGTAAAAGGGAAAAGGTTCGTTTCGGTGGAAACTGGTCCAGTCGACTTTTTCGTAATACGATATCAATATCGAACCCTTGTTTTCCTTCTGAATGACACTCGCTCGCGTGATAGTTATTTCTCGTTTCATGTGTGTAACTAGTCCGGGAGCAATCGCTAAAGAGACTATAACGGGGCTAAAGATAGATGTAAACTGGGAAGACGAAAAAAAAAAAGACGTCTGAGCCTCAAAATATCATGGCCTCAAAACGGATCGGTCCCGGGATATTTCTCTCGAGCGTTTACCTTCGTCACTCTATACCGGCGCGATATGGTCTGCGGTTTTTTTTTTTTTTTACGAGTTATCCTTTCGGAAAACAAAAATATGTTTAAAAAAAAATCGTTCGATAATTTACCTGAATACCAGCGCCGATTGTTCCCGTAGACACTTAGCAGCAAACGTGTCTTATATGGAAAAGAACGGATAACACATAACGGATCGGAAAAATCCATATAAACTCTATAAACACGTTTACAAACGGATAGTGTATGCAAAGGGATTGACATTGAGATTCGTGCGGGCGACGATGTTTTGGTCGGTGGTTCCTGTAAAATTGTCGATCGGCCATTTTTGAACGATCATTGCCATGTGTTATGCGACGCACAATGCGATAGGACAAGAGGGTTTTTATTTTTTTTTTTTTGTTTGGAAATATTTGTGTTAAGGATAAAAAACGGGTGCGGGGGTGGTGTTTCTTGTTTTTGTATAGGGTATTACTTTTAGGTAGGAACGGAACCGTTATAAAAACAGAATTATTCGTTTTAAGGACTCGTTCGAGGCGCATGTACAGTATTATGTAAAAATATTAGTGAAAAAAAAAAAATAATAATAATAATAATTTTAAAAATTATGTCTATTATTTTTTTTTTTTTTTTTTTTTTTTTTTTTTTTTTGGAACAAACGAATAGTAATAAAATATACATTTTTTTTTCCGTATACGCAGTGCGTTAAAATAAATTCAAAACGATTTTAGTATAATAATAAGATTTGTTCAGGGATAACGTATAAAGGGTAACACAGGGTACACAGGGGTTGTTTTTTTCATTTTAGATTTGTTAATAAACATAAACACGAAATATAACTTTAATGAGAGACATTTATGATCCGTCAGATTTGACAACAAATATTTTGGTTATAGTTAATAGTACAATTACATGCTGGTGTTGAATGAACATAATATTATAGTATAGAATAAATGAAAATAAATAAAACTGGGCAAAAATGTGCAATATTCGTTGCGAACAATGAAGTTTGTCGGAGGTCTATGCCTCGTATTCCACTTCTTCTTTTACCTTCTTCTCGTCTCCCTTTTTGGACCAATCTGGTTTTTTCTGTATCGAAAAACAAAAACGGAATAGGAAAAAAAAAACCATTAGTATTAGTGTGTGCGTGGTAAAGATTAACGATAATGTAATTTTAATTTTAGTATGACCGCGAAACGAACCTCCTTGTCTTCTTCTTCCAGGGTGAACTCCTTCTTTTTCACTACTTTCAGTTGGTTTCTGAAGTTGAATTCGGCCGCTTTCTTTTGGAGTTTCGCGAATTTGTTTTCGTATTTGGAGACTTTCTTCAATGTTGGTTTAACGCTAAAACGGACGAGGAAAAAAAACCGCATTGTAAAATAGACCGGAATATAATATTATTGCGCGCGTTAACACGCGGCAACAATAAAATTGTTCGCGAATATATACTTACAACTTTCCTCGTAAGTCGTTCACTTGGCTGTTCAACTCGCTGATCTAAAATAGCCAACAAAACATTGTTTAAGTATGTGTGCGCGATCGGTTCGATGCCGATTTCAATAGGAAATCGTTTATGCGATTAGCGTGCACGAAGTCAAACAACGATGTTAGATATACGTAAGCGAACAAAACAGACGTGGGTTATTGGTGGGTCAGGTACGTTTGGCTCATGCGTAACGGTAATAGGTGACAAAAAACAAAAAATAAAAAAAATACCGAAACAAATACCGCAAATACCAAATCGTAGGCGTACTCATTACCGGTTTGACAAAACTTTTTATTTGTATAAAAAATTTTGTCGTGCGGACAACAATTGTTAATATTGTTCGCGTTCGGAGCGTAATACCGAATACTGCGTTAACAGTCCGCGAGCGTAAATTGATCGCACGTACGATTTGCGTAGAAAAAATACAAACTTTGACGATTTTCGTTTTTTTTTTCTATCTCTAAACGTTGTAAAATTCGACACTAAACGTACGCGTTCGCGTCGTTTCGCAAACGTCTATATTATCCGGGGGGGGGGGGGGGGTTGGGTAGGGGCGTGGAAAAAAAAAACAAACAAAACACGTTCCTCGACGTCGCTATCCCGGAAGACAAACAGCACCGTGCGTTACCGGCAGAAACGACGTGCCGTCGCGGTAAAAGTCCTCGCGGTTTCCGTCTCGGCGGTTGTCGTTTCTCGCCCCGGCCGCGACAACGTTCCCCCGTTTTAATCGAACGTCCGCGAAACGACAATGCGCTGTCCCGTGTTTACGCAGTGCGCGGCGCACGGATTCCGACGCCGACGGTGCAAGCGTCCGGTGCTGGGTTCCGTTCGCGGACCGATGACCGCGGGACCCTACGCTCTCGGGGCGGGCCGGGCGTCTCCCGTTCCCGGGCCCGGGTTCGGCGGATTCGATTTCGCGGTTTTCTTGCGGTGTTTCCGGTCAAGTCTCGATTGCCGGGCCGCGGTGAGCGTTAAGGCGTTCGCCCTCGGGAACGTTCGCGGGGAAAAAAAAACCGTAGAGGACGCATGCGCGGGACGGCATCCGAAAGGGCGAAAAACGCCGGCGTATCGTTAACGCGGTCGGATTAACGACGCGACGTTTCCGCGTGCGTGTTAATCGAACGGCAATGCGACGTGCGGGTTGTTTTTGGGAGTTTTAGGGTAACGCGGGAATTCGTGATTAGAAAAAAAAAAATAAAAATAATATTATAGGTAATAGCATTCGATCAACAGGATGCGGAGACTCCGACATCGCGGCCGTGCGTACGAGCGAATTACCTCGAAAACTTTCATTCGGACACTCCGTTCCAAGTCGAACTTTTGGCCTTCCAAATCGTAAAACCGTTTCCATAATTCTTCGCATATTTCCGCGAGCTCCTCTAAACATCGATTACTGTGAGACAGCGAACGGGGGGAAAACAAATAACAACAAAATACCGCGGCCGAATACCAACTCCGGCAGTTTGGAAACGTTATGCGCGGGTATACGACTCCGGGAAACTGCAGTGACGTACCGCGTGGGGTTTTTTTTTTTATTATTATTATTTTAACACACGAAAACAATATAATAAAAAAATTTCGATTCGACTGTGTACTGTGTCCAGGGTCGGAATACAGTGAAGTTATACGACACGTATTGTACTGCATAGAATTTTGTTTTGTTTTTTTCGGCCGCGACCGAACAGAAATGATCGGGTAAAATAATTACTGTCGATCGAATTCGATTGCGTCATTTCACGTATCCTACTATGCGTCGCATCTCATATGTTAATCGCCTAAGATGCATGCGACGATCGGTTACACTGATTGGACGGATTACAATTCGCAATGACGAAATTGGAAAAACGCGTTTTGTTTTATTGTAAATTTGACGGGTCGACGACGGTAACCTTGCGGGTCCGTTGAGCGCGCGTGCAGCGTTGTATCGCCGTTACTACGCGAACTCCGAAAAATGAAAAAAATGAAATAAAAACGTCTCGGTCGTCACGCAGTCGTATACGTTTTATGCGTACCGGGGTGTTGTGCATGTAACGTATAAAACGGTTCGTACAGCGTGCGCCGTTACCGGAACGGCCGCGGCGTAAAAAACGCGCTGTTTTTTTTATTTTTTTTCGGGTTTATTTTTCCCCGGGCGCGCGGACGAAAGTCGTAAATAACGCGCGAGCGCCGCGCCCGTCCCCGCGGGTCCGTCCGAACACGCCGCGCGGGCGGACCCCGGCGGCCCGTGGTCGCGCGCGAAACAATCGCGTAAAGGCGACGATTATTTCGGTAAAACAACGCGAAAACGTCTCGACGTCCGCGCGAACGATTCCGACGGACGGCTTCGTGCGCGCGGGTGCGGCGCCGAACGCGCGCCGTTTTTGGCAACGTTACTGCGCGGCGACGATTTTTTTTAATTTTTTTTTTTTTTTTTTTTTTTAATTAAGCGTTAGTGTTGACGTTGGCCAGCGCACGTACGCGCGTACGAATGCGCGGATAAAAAAAAAAACAAAACGTCAAACGCAGATGCCCTTGCGATGCGCGATGCGTATATATATATATATATATGCGAAGACGTTGACGCCAAGCCAAAAAACCACCCGAGACGGTATAGAATGGGCTGAACGAAAATCGGACGCGAAAAAGCGTGAGGAACAGAAAAAAAAACAAATATACGTATGAAATTCTCCGGCGAAGGCTAATAGCTTGAAAAACATATGAAAAAAAAAAAAAAAAAAAACAACACCGTCTCCGCCAACCAACCTCGAAATCTTTCTTTTTCACGACGTATTCCAAGTCGAACTTTTGATCTTCTAATTTCGTGATCCGGTCGTAATACTCTTTGATCACCCGTTTGATCGTATCTACATGCAATAATAATGCGTTCGACGCAGCGAACAGAAAAAAAAAAAAAATTGCAACCGTTTATTATTTTCGTCCTACATTAATATTATCGTGTTGTGTGCGGTGGGGTCGAACGGATTTCGGCCGGCCGCCAGAAAAAAAGAAATGGTGAAAAAAAAAAAAGTAGAAAATCCGACGAATTTTCAAACAATCGAAACGCTCGTTTACCTTCGCCGGCGTCGTCGATGTTCTTCGGTTGTCCGCACCGTTCTTCGATGATCCGTCTCCGCTCGGCCGCTTTGCGTTCCTGTTCTTTCTTCAACTCTTCGGCGGCCTTTTTTCTCAAAAGCAGCTGAGGGCGCGAAAGCAGAAAGAAAATAAAAACAACACCCATTAATCACCCCGTCGCTAGCCGCGCGAAATCCGGGCCACTTACACGGAGTTTCTTCTTTCTGTCCGGGGTCATGAAACCCTTCTTGGCCTTCTTGGCTTTGGACGCTTCTTCCATACGCTTACGTACTTCGGCCCTCTTGCGGTCGATTTCCGCCTGTTTCGCCTTCTTTGCCTGTAGCGAGAGAAAAACGAACGCGTTAAACAAACGGCCATCGGGAGACCGGTCCGGGGAGGGGAAAAGGGGGGCAAGGTGGGAGAGGTAGGACACTCACTTCATCGTCGGCCATGGCTGCGGCTGGTCGGTTGCTACGTGCGCTTTTCCAACGGACACCGGACTAATCTGAAACGTGAAAAATATGAGACGTTGAATCGCGACGTATCGTGACCGTACTTATTATGTTGATTGTTATTGTTATGATTGTTGTCAATCGTGTATAGATAAAAATAGATAAGAATGTTATTGCTGTCGGATTCGGTGAGCGCGTTGTCCCCGTAGATATTTTCGACTTGCTATGCCGTTGGGATATTTGTTTACAGCAAGTTATTATTGTTGTAACGAACGGACAAAAAAAGGAAAAAAAAAAGCGTTACGAAGAAAAAAAAAAACCACACGCGACGATAAACATTATGACCGCTCGAATGCGATCGTATACTTTTACCGAGGTGTTAATTATTCAGCGCTGTTGTTTATTATCAGTGACTGTTGTTATTACCTATAGCGCAATAGACAGCAATATTATTACGGGACGGTCGGAAAGAGTGGAACGAAAAAAATGAACGGCAGACTTTGATAGGGAAAAAAATTAATAACAATACGCGTGAACGAGAAAAAATAATGAAATAATGTCCAACCTGAACTGTGTGCTGTGGTAGGAACGGCCGATGACTTCGTCGGAGGACTTCGCCGGAGATTGAACGGCACTCGGCGTTATTCCGCACAGGAAGACGCTGGCCGGGCCGCCCCGCCGCCGAGACGCTTGACACACAACACGGCTGCCGATTGGCCGGCCGCGCCTCCGGTTATTTTTAGCCCGGAGCTTTTACTTTTAGCCGCTGTACGCTTACGGTTCGCGCGCGCACACGCCGGGGCGAAATACCGAACGGCACCGGCGTCCGTGTACGTACGGTATATACGTATATAGTTATGGACGACGTATACGGGACGGCGGCGGCGAGGCAACGGCGACGGCTACATACGAGTCCAATACGCGAATGCTATTTTTAAACGACGCCCGACTTGCGTTTGTCGGTCGGCCGTTTTTCCCGTCCGTCCGTATTATTTATTGTGACGAACGCCTTCCGTACGGCGGCGGCCGCGGTCTATTTCGTTTTGGGTTTTTTTTTTTTCAGCCCGTTAACCCCTCCCCTCTCCACGTATACGGACTATACAGACCGGCGGCGGTCTTCGACCGGTGGGTCGCGGGTCTGCAGTCGCGGCGTTTAAGTGGCGGGGGCCATAGGGGTCGTGCCCTCCCCACACATCAAACTACCTATAAATAATAATTAATTTCGGAAATCTGAGCAGGAGTTGTTCACATTGTCAATAACAATTATGATCACGGGCTTCGCAGATAGTTGCAGCACTATCGCATTAAGCGGACGGGGGTCACATTGACCGATTGGCGTCTGGTCATGTTAGTTAAATGTGGAATTTTCGGATCAAAATGATATTGCCCCTCCCCCCTCTAAAAGACGAACCAAATCCGTCACTGTTGCGAACCGATTTTGGATCGCGTGAGCTTTAAGACGAAGGGTCGCGAGGAATATCAGTTTAAAATTTGTTTAAAAAAAAAAAATTAACATTATACAAAACGTTCATACAAGTGTTGCACGCTCATTACGCCCCCTAAAAAATCTAACCTCGTACCATTTCATATTAAGAGGACGTGGCACTCGAGTCTACTGTCTCGTGGTCCGACTGCCGCGGAGCGACATGCTAAGCCAATGCTCACTGAGTAAAACTGATTTGATTCCGATTTTAGACTAAAAGTACATATCGTTATAAAATGCATAGAGAACAATATTTCGGAGGCAATCTCATAAGTGTTTTTTTGAATTATGAACTTACTTATTATTCTTTACGTTTTTACGTACCGTTTAAATAAAAAAAAAAAAAGCTCGGGAGGGATACCTCAGAGAGTCAGAGGTACCCATCAAAGATCTACCACCGCCACCCGACCATTAAAAGAACGATGGCCATTGCCACCCTTCACTGTTGGTTTCCGCACCACTGGAGCTGTGTGTTTAGAATTATACAAAAAGCCGATGCGGTTCTCTCTCCAAAATATTCTTCTCTATGAATTTCATAACAGGTACCTAAAATACTCTAAGATTATTAATTACTCTAAAATCAAAATTAAGTTAGTTTTACTTAGTCTGCGCAAGCATTGTTCTTCCATGTTACTCGATAGTTGGATTGAGCTGGTTGATGTGAAAGTGGCGTCCACTTAATAGAATATAAGAATGAAAACAATCAAATTGTATTAATATTTCCGACGACATTTCTATGTGCAAAGAGGTTTTCCGCTATGTCGAATTTGACATGATCGAAAATTAATACACTACACACAGAACACGATTTTCGGATTGCATTGCACTAAGTTGAGCCGAGATGTAGTATGTTATACTGTGAAAACAATTGTAGGTGTTGTAGGCGAGAAGTAGAGAAGGTAGTAGAGGGGAAATTCAATGTATATCTGTACGCGACGATTAACAATGGCCAACGAAAAAACGATTCTAAGCAAAGTCGGTTGACAGTGTTACTTCGTCAACAATATATATATATATGTTATGTTATGGTAAAATAATTACATGATATGCATTATATATTTTCTTTAATATAGTACATATTTTCCCGTTTCCTACAATATTTCCCGGTTTTCCCATGTTTTTCCCATTTATTGGGAAAACACATATGGAAACACTAAAATTACCTCCCTCAAGTACTACCTCAGTCAGATTTCCTTTAAGAAAATGTTCTATTATAGTAAACCGAAACAAAATTGCTGGTAGAAAAGTTGTCCACAGAAAAAATAAAAACATAAATATCATTGTAAAACCAATGCATTCCTCGCTCCACTCAGAATCTAAAAAACAATGTGCGTTTTCACGATAAAAACGATTGTTTAAAAAAGGATTTTAAAATAATACAATTTAAATAATAATAAAAAATGAATGAAAACGGTTGCCAATGATAACTTTTTCATCAATCTGTCAATCTTGTTCAACCTAAAAAACGGATTTTTTCACGTTATCTCGAACATAAATGGGAATTTCAAAAAATACGTAGCGATCTAGTTTAACGTTTGTTATGTTATTGTCCGCTTTACTGTCGCCGCCGATCATATTTATATTATTACACATTACGATAATATTGTGATCGCATACCGAATGGAATATCGACCGTGCAATAATATTGTTATTATTTTCCTATTATCTCAAGTGACAGTAATCGGTGCCTCGAACAGATCCCCCTATCTTCCTCCCCCATTTTTTGGGCTAAATTTTCCTTGTATTCAAATTCAGACTTTTGAAATTTCAAAATTGATTTAAATTAATACTCCATCTATCTATGGAATTTTTATTATACGTTCTCAATTGAAAAGACAAAGTTGGTATCGCCACAGGATACTCCCTAAATGTTGTGAAAAATCTAAGTATTCAAAAATATCGGGTTTAACTACACTTAAAATTTACAAAAATCAGAATTTGAATACATGCAAAAGTTAACCAAAAAATGAGATGAATACACTAAGTTAATCATCCTGTATAAAATTATTACATTTCGCTTTATATAAGAATTTAATAAGAATTCAATTTCAAATGTAACAAAGCGGGATTAGTTTGGACGAAAATTGGTTGCAGTTATATCGGTGGGCCAATAGCTTATCGCCTAGACTTTTTACTTACACTTACTGATAAACATTTTCAATGGAGAAAACGTATTCAGAAATTTAAAACAAAAGAGTTTAGGATTTATAATATTATGTTGAATTACAAAAACATATTATCATATACTCATATACTCGTATACTCGTATAATAAAAAATGTTGATTAGAGTGTTATAGATAAATTTTGGGGGCTTAGGTCCCTGAAATTATCCAAATTTCCCATGAATTTTATACTTTATATAATTTTTAAATATATTTATATATTTATTTATTAATAATTATATTATATATAAAAAGGCTACTGGAACAGGTGTTTGAATATTCCTCAAATTTAGACAATTTTAACATTATTTAAAATTGAACATTTTAATTATTACTTAAAAAAACGATTTTCCACAAATTTAATGCCCGTTTAAAGAGAACGAACTCGCAGGAAAAACTCTCACGCCTCGTAAAAATTTACCATATCAATATTTTCTTTTTTTTCCCCCGGGCAGAGAAAATTCTTAAAAAACTGAAATTTTTCAGACCCTTAATGCAATTGAAAATTGGAGTTCGATACGCTGAAAAAAAGTCGTCCTATTTCAAATAAAAAAAAATTAAATAATAATAACATCAAAGTGTGAATGTTTTACAACTTACGAGACGAGTTTTTCCACGAGGCATGTTTTTGTACAAAATATACGGTGGCTCCGACAGCCTTAAATAATAATCCTCATTAAGTACAATTGTTAGATGTTGAATCCAAAACTAAAAAGGTTACAAATATAGTTACAATAAAGGTAAATAAATTGGTACAATAGGTACATCGTTTAATATGTAAATTCGATTTAAAGTTGATTTAAAGTAATCTTATTTTTTACATTTCCAAGGAAGTTTCATTGCGTAGATATTTATTTTACTGCCAAGAACCACATTCGAGTGACTGTCTTTTTCGAAAAAAATCATATTGCCTATCTATATAATGAGACTCCACTACTGTCCTCCAACCCAATCTTAAAAGTGGAATATCTCATCAACGACTCGACAGAAATTAAAAATTTCAACATTGAAATTTATTCTAGCTAATACTCCGTCGATTTATGGACTTTTCAATGTAGGTTGCTATTTGAAAATCAATAGTAGGTAGTGGTTTTACTCCCGAAAATAAAGGTTAGAAAAATTAATATAGATATAAAATTGTAGAGCAGCTTGTTTTTTTAAATTGTATAGAATACAAATTCCGGAAAAAGTTAATATTTACCGAGATAATGAGTGCCACCCGCTTAAATGGATCATCCGGTATATATAGGACATGCTTAAAAATACCAAAACTCTCGGTCAAAATCGCGCATAATAAAACGTATTTAATGCAGCGGACTTTGTATTTTGTAAATCGTTTCAACGTGTCGATAAAAAGAAAGTAATAAAAAACGGTCGAGGAATCTGTAACGATTTCATGAAATATACTTTATTGGTCGTTTATGCGATGGTTAAAAAATAATAATGTATAATATTATTTGTGTATATTTTTAACCAATAAGCCAGCTAAAACGAACAACTATTATCATACTCGAGAATCACCGTGGTTTTATTTTTTTTTTTATCTAGGTTAACAGTTCTACAGCATAAAAAGAAAACACACACACACACGTATCATAAAAATCCGAAATCGATTTTTATTCCGTTTTAAAGATTTTTCCCCGGACATTTTAAATGTGGTATTGCTTTTTATTTTTTACGTCGTTCTTTATATTATATAATCGTTCGCGTTCGCAGCTGTGTTGTGGAAATAAAATCGAGTGTTTCGTATACGCTATTTTTAGATTATTTGGCCTCAGATTTCACCTAGTTTTGTCTGCAGTAGTTTTGTATAAATATATACGCGTGTACATAAACGTCATCATATTATTATGAAGACGATCGCCCATTTCGAACGTATTATTTTCGTTCCCGGCCGAGGGGATTCGGGGATCCGGTATTTGATTTGATGCGAATTTATCGAAAATATTGCAACAAATTACAGGTGTTCGTAAACGTAATTATTTCGTAAATAAATATGAATTTTAAAAAGTTTG